AGGAGCGTGTTCTGCTTCGGCGGAGTTCTTCATTCTGCTGGTGATGAAGTGGACTGGCCACGCTCCGGGACTGTAAATTGGTGTCGCTGGAATGGATGCGAGTGGAGCTCTTGCTTCGGGAATGGCGACGAACGCGGGACCCGCTACGGGAGTGAGAGTGGGATAGGACGCCTGGGGTTCCGGGGACGGAGAAACTAGAGAGATAAGAGGTCCTGGTTGTGCTGGGGGTGCCGGTGATTTCGTGGCGAGGAGAGAAATAGTCTGGGGCATCGGTATCGTCGTCGATGGGAAATCGAGGGTTCAGTGGAGACAGAGATACATGGTGTAGGGTGGGATATGAACGGCGTGATCGAAACCCGCTTTGAGATTGTGAAGACTGATGGTGATGGGGAGTTAGTGAGTGGGTGTGGGTGGATCTGGGGCAAGGGACACTTACATCCATGGGGGCGTTAGGACCACAGGGTCACCAGATGATCTTTTGCGGGTAAGTATTCGAGACAAATGAGGTGAGAAGATTGTTGAAGATGGAGAGAGGACACAATGGGCTATTAAACCCAGATCGTGATGATCGTCGGGGTTGGAGGAGAAGATCGAACCACCTTCGGCTGGAGCTCGAAGGCGCCCGTGCGCGGCGGAATGGCATGTGAAAATGCGGGCATTCATTCATGACTTCCGGATGACTGACAGCAACCTTTTTTGGGTGGTCTTGAAATCAATGATCTCTTGCTTACAGGATAACTAATAATAAGCTTAACTGCGGTAAAGCATGGTTGGATGAATAGACGTTAGTGTCTCGTCAAGTAGTATCTATCTAACTGGTCGCTGCTATCCGTTGTTCGTTATCGTGGCGGCCACATTATTGACTAGTATATAGTACCGCACTACTCCAGCTTATGCAGTCTATGGAAATTAAATATGGGCATCAGAGCTCCACTCTGACTGTAGTTTATCTATCCAGGAATTCCTATCGATCAGATCAGTGTATCAACCCCTACTAGGCTGCCGGTGACAGTATATTTATAGCGATGCGAAGTGGTACTACTAAGTATTGGACTCGACCAAGTACATTGGGCTACTTGGATCATCCCAGTAGGATTCAGAAAATCTCCGAGTAGGGCAGCAACAAGATCGGGGGCCTACCGCTTCCAGCAGATCATCGAATCACTTAATGATTTAGTAAGAGTCTGCCTCACCTTGAATTCTGGTATTTGATGGGAGAAGTTGAATGCATCCCCCACACCGCCCGGACCAGCCTTACTTACGTTGACGATCAGCCGGATTGGACTGGCCGGGATGCTCTCCACGTACCCAATCAGTCTGCCTGTCAAGTTGTCACTCCTTCAACGCATTCCCTCAGCCCATCATTGCTCTCTCTTGCCTTCCCGCTGCTTATTTATTTCCTCCGATTCCCCCCATCTCCTTCCCCTTTGCCAAGCACTCACTTTCATGCCACTTGCCACAACTCGTGTTCACATCTCTAGTTGCTCTCAGGAGCGTGCCATTCTGTCGTTCCCAACCCTGATCTTCTCCCCGCTCCCTAGCGCCAGCCACCATGGCTGAGGAGGCAAGCCGGCCTCTGCTAGAGCAAGAGCCACGACCTATCTCGCCTCAGCGCTCCCCAACATCCATTGGCAAAGCTTCCCATCACCCAGATTCGGAGCCTGGTCCGTATGAGCTCTCTTCCGAATCCACCCCTCTCCTCATCCATCACAATGACGATTTACTGGGATACGGCGGGACCGGTTCCAGGAGGCCGTCGTCTGTCCGACCTCGAAGTCTCTCGCCCAATGGGTCACTCAAGAAACGCCGTGGACGTATACGATGGCCGATTTTCTGTGCTCTCCTTACAGTGGCTGCTGTAGTCGCGATTCTCATCTTCGCCTTCATCGCCCCAGCTGCCGTGAAGGAATACGCCAAGGAGGCGGTGGTCTTCAAGCCTACCAATGTCTCAATCGAATCAGCCACTGCCGATGGCCTTCAAGCCCGGGTACAAGGGGACGTGGTGCTCGATGCGGGGCGCGTACACAAGAGACCGGTGCGGGACATTGGTCGTTTCGTCACTTGGATCGGAAGGGAGGCTGAATCCGGCCAGTCAGAAGTCGAACTATATCTCCCAGAGTATGGGAACGTTCTCCTTGGCACGGCAAACTTGCCTTCCGTCAGGGTCAACATTCAGAATGGTCATGTAAACCATGTCAATTTCCTGGCAGACTTTGTGCCTGGAGACTTTGAGGGAATTCACAACGTCGCACTGGACTGGTTGAACGGAAAGCTCGAGAAACTGACGGTCAGAGGAACAGCAACACTTGATATCAAGTCGGGCTTCCTCAGCCTGGGCCAGCAGTTCCTTTCCGACTCCCTCACTATTGAAGGTTGGTCCCATACTATTCCGATTCATCGTATAACCTATTAACCCGGATCTAGAGGGCGACTTTCCTTCTTTGCCGGCTGTCAACATCACGAATTTCAACGTTCATGATGCGGAAGACCCAGGACAGCAAGGCGCAATGGCAATTGATGCCTCAGTTGCTGCTCAGTTTGATTCACCGTTCGGAGTGAACATTCCTCCGCTCGGGTTCGAAGTGCTGGTCCCAAATTGCTCTCCTGGTGATGCCCCGATTCGGGTAGCTGCTGCTACGACTCGAGGGTTCCCCATTACTCCTGGCCAGCCAACATCAGTTGACGTCGCCGGCATAATTCAAGGACTCTCTGAGGACCTGACCAGAGTTTGTCCAGGAATGAAAGGTTCCCCTCTGGATTTCCTGGTCAAGAGCTACATTCATGGAGATGGAACCACTGTCTATGTCCGTGGAGCGGACCCACCTTCTCTGGCTACACCCGGATGGGTTGTAGATATCCTCAAAAGTGTGACAGTGCCGCTGAGCTTTACCGGGCATGCCCTTGACAATCTCGTCAGGAATTTCACAATGTCGGACGTGCATTTCACCCTGCCAGATCCCTTTGCAGAACCCGATTCCCCAGAATCACAGCCGACGGTATCTGCGTTGGTCAAGGTGCTGATTGGGCTGCCGAAAGAACTAGGCCTTCAGTTGGATGTTCCTAGGGTCCGGGCTACTGCTGACGTGTTTTACGGTGGCAATAAACTTGGAATCCTGAACTTGCGAAAATGGCAAGCTGCCAACTCGACCCTGCTCGACGATGATGATGGCTCGCCAGCGTTGTACGTCGACTTCGGGATCAAGAAAGCGCCGCTTGAAGTGACGGATGAAGATGTCTTGACTGATGTTCTTCAAGACTTGATTTTCCAAGGAAAACGGGTCAAGCTTGATGTCGCCGCCAGTGTAGATGCGGAAGTCACCACCGGATTGGGCACTTTTGCTGTTCGTGAGATACCCGCACAGGGTGAGATCGTGGTTAAGCGTAAGTCAAATCTGGCTGACACCCTGGCCTATCGACTGACTTTCCTGTAGCCCCATACGGTGGTTCTTTGGACGAATTAAGCCCGCGTATTGCATCGGTAGAACTGGGAACTACTACTGCCTCATCTCTTCTTGTGAAGGCTCTGGTCAACGTGACCAATCCCTCGCCATACTCAGCATCAGTGCCATCAGTCGATTTCCTGCTTCTATTTAACGGTTCTAAAGTCGGACATATCACTGCGAAGGATCTTACAATTACACCGGGCGCCAATGATGGTCTCCCCGTGGACCTCACATGGAGCCCACTTGTTCTGGATGGGGAGACTGGCGTCACTGCTGGCCGGGAGCTACTCTCCAGGTATATTTCTGGTGAGCTTCAGAAAGCCCTTTTCTTTCCTCCAATTTCTAATTACCGTCGCAGGATACAACACCACTGTTACAGTACGGACACATGAGGGAACGATCCCGGGACTACCCAAACTTGGGAAGGCACTATCGAAACTAGGGCTCGAGGTTCAAATTCCTCGGGTACCCGTGCCTCATGCCCCCGGTACCGGGGACGACCCTGATGATGGCCCAAAAGGGTTCATTCAAGGAGCTACGGTATTATCTACTTTCATAAATATCGTCTTGGAACATAACATATAAATCACCGCATATACATTCTTTCATAATCATAACGAGGCATTTGTTCATCCAAGGAGCGCGCGCTCCGTTCAAGACAAGCGGAAGACTAACTTGCATGAGTGCTGCTAGATGCACCTCTGGTCATCGACGGCCGAGTTCACACTATCCTCACCATTCCCCAACACCACCATTGACATCACTTCGGTATATGCGCAGGCCTTTTACGAGGGCGACGAGGAAGTCGGCACCATCGACTACCGCGTGCCGTTCCCCGTGCCGCCGGGTATTTCAATTACACCCCGGCTGCCTGTGGATTTGAATCTCGGCGGTATTGGCTATGACGCGCTGAAGAAAGCGCTGGGAGGCACTCTTGGATTAGATGCCGTGGCGAAGGTTGGCGTTCAGATTCAACACTATCGGGATATAGTGTTTTATCATGGGAAGGGGATCAAGGCGCGAGTCAAACTTTAGGAGTTTATTCTTTCTTTCTTTGTTTTCCATTTCTGGGTTATTGTTTAGTTCATGCTTTTACAAGCGGGCTTAAATCGGTCTCTCATTCAGCCTGAGCTGGCGTTATGAATAGAACGGGCGTTTTGACGTTGGGGTAATTAGGCTATTCCTTTCTTAGTCTATTGGGCTTTTCGCTAGGATACGGATGACTCATTTTAAATACGAAGCTGAGCATGATTGGCTCTCAATGGAAAGTGATACTATTATTACTAGTAATATTAGGTTCAATTTACAGCTCTACAGCCGATTACTACCACTGCTTATGACCCTATCCATATCGCAAACGAGAATGCTCGAAGGCGGAAGATATAGACGTACATAAAACACTTCGAATGAATTATTAAACATGGGAATTTACAACATATTATTAAGCTTAGCTTAGACTTGCAAAGGAAATATGGATGAAATACATTGTGGTTGTGCTTTTTACATTGAGGGATATAGATAATGGATAGATAAGTAAAAGCGCACAGACGATTACATTTAACCGGGGGGAAGGGTGCTGGCGTCAACAACGTCAGCGGCGTCCTTCTCGATCTCCTCGCTAGGCTCGAAGAGAGGAGACCGGGGCAGAGCCATCAGACCGGTACGGGTGGACTCGAGGACACCGAAGGGGCCGATGAGCTTCATGAAGGAGTCGATACGGGAGGGTTTGGCGGAGCTATATCACATATCATTAGCACCAAGAAAAACCAGAATCGTATGACTCATGCTGGTTAGGGAGGAAACTTACACCTCAACAATGCAGTTGTTGGTACTGATATCCAGCACCTTTCCACCGAACTGATGAGTCAAGCGAGTAATCGCATCCAAATGCTCATGCTTGTGTCTCAAAGCCTGAGAATGGGGCAGATTACGGGGGTGGAACTCGGTCTTCGCAACTTGCGCAGCCTTATCCTTCTGACCCTCAGTCTGCTCACCGGGGGTGGTGATTTCGCGGTGGTGCTGCAGCAATTCCTCGAAGAACTCGGGGCCCAAGATGCTGACCTTGGCGAGGAGGAGTTCGCGCTGCACCAGGGCGGAGTCAGTGTAATCGAGGACGGCCCAGACGGGGACGAGATCATCGAGTTGACGACGAGCCTGCTCGACGACGCCGTCCTGACCCTGCAAGACGATGGTCATACGAGACAGATCCTCGACCTCGGTGTTGCAGACGACGAGAGAGTCGATGTTGAAGCCGCGAGCAGCCAGGATACCGGACACGCGGGACAGCACACCGGGCTCGTTCTGCACCAGACAGTTCAGGATATGGCGCTTGGGAGGGTTGGTGGGGACGGAAGGGGTTTCGTAGAGAATGGACGAAACGGCCGTGGGGGCGTCCCATTGCGGCGAGGCATCGTTGACGGGGAGAGGGAGGGGAGACCGGCGATGAAGGGCCTTGTAGGCTAGGGCTGAGGTCGAACTGGAGGAAGAGGCCCGAATGGTGGTGCTGAATCGGGAGGCTCCCAGGCGTGAGTTGCGGCTCGCAACGGACAGGAAAGGCGTTGATGCTGTCGTTGACAGCATCAAAGGACGCCGGAATGCCATGATCGCCGCGACGGATTAGGCCTGCACTTGTGGGAAACAGTGGCAGGCAGCAAAGTCCGGAGATCCTCGCAGGGCTTTCTGGGGTCGCGGAGAATAAAGTCCGCAGGTTGAACTTCGCATTGCATTTTATACGCGGCGGCCTTCCGACCTCGGGGCGCTGACTCAGTCCCGGCGGTAAGGATTCGTCGTCCCGTGACAAGTTTTATTACTTACCATACTGACTAGATAGTGTTTGCCGCTTGGCTGTTTTGGGCTTAGTTGTTTTGGAACTCACATGATCGGGGCTGCATCTTTCGATTCTTGATCGCGATTCTATTGTCTTGTTGTTACTACTTGGTGGTTTGAGAATCTTATAGATTCATCCAGTACATCTTCTGCAAAGTTCGAATGAATTATTGTGTTCAGTTACCTACCTATCATCCCTCCGGGGGAAATATTCGATCGAAAGGACCCTGTACGGTTAGTACGGGCACAACTACTTCTACTACACACACTTAAAACACTAGGCCTATTATTGGTCCCAAGCGCAAAGGGCCGCTACCACTAAGTTCTCCGGAGTGGCAGCTCGGCATCCCCCGTGGCTGGCATTTCTTGCTTAGTTTCTGCTACTTTTTCGCTGGGCCACTAAACCATCTCGAGTCGAGTCTTCTTTAGCGGCTAAACCGGGCGGATCGTTCCAAACTCCACCGCCTGCGAAAGTCTTTGGCAAGTTTATCTTGGCCTTTTCGGGCCTACCTTGCTGCCTTGCCTCACGCCCTTCATTTTCACCTTAGACGTTACTTATCCCTTCCCCTTCTCTTACCTCTCACTCCCGACATTGCCGATACTATGGACGATCGCCGCTCGAAACGCTCTCGGTTTGATCAGACCGAGCCGGAAGTGCGACGCCCGTCGCGCTTCGACCGCCGCTCTCGGTCTCCCTCGTCGCGACAGTCCGAGTCGACTCGAGCTCGCAGCCCTCTCAGTCGTGAACCTCGGAGCCCTAGCGCGGACCCTGCGAAGAAGACCGATCCCGCTGCCGCCGCTGGTACGTTCGTTCCTTCAGGATAATGGCAAGAGTCGATGGCGCAGGGAACTTGTGTAGCAGCAGAACTAACGTTGGAGTCATACACACAGCTGCCGCTGCGGCAAAGATCAACGCCCAGTTGCAAGCGAAAAAGGGCATTCAACATGTCGACGTTCCTCCAATTCGCTCGGTAAGCATGACTGACACTGGTCGCAAGGCACAGAATAACATGATATACTGACCCTGGTTTCTACTACTTAGACCGCAAGCCCCGTACCAACATCCGGCTCACCTCCCACCGGCGACGCATCTGGAAAGTTGAACGCGGAGATCTACGTTGCTGATGGAGACTATATCAAGGATATTGAGATTAATGACTTGCGCAACCGTTACACGCTGACCAAAGGCTCTACTCAGAAGATGGTAATTACTCCTGTTTACATCCGCTGATCCTGCCCAGGCCCAAGCCCAAAACTTGTCGCAAGCTAGCTGCTGGCTTCCGTCGTTCGCCATGCGCCTTTGCTTGGTTTTGCTTGCTCATTTTTGGCCTCTTTCTTCTCTTCTATCTATTCCCCCCGTTTTTCCAATGATTCGTTTTGTGGTTATGGCTAAAGCTTACCCAAGTCAACGTCTTGCAATAGCATCCCAACACTTGCCCTCATTTGCATCTGCTGACCTCCGCTGCGTGACATTTAGATCAAAGAAGAAACTGGCGCCGGTACGCCTTTCATTCCATATTTTACACTGTTTATATCAAACGTTTGACTACAAGAAGGAAGCTCATCATTTCTGTTCTCTTTTCAAGATGTCACTACAAGAGGAAACTATTACCCGGACAAGAGCATGGCCACCGCTGCGGTACGTTCTACATACCCACCCAGCTCTCTGAACATACTAACATGTGATCCCTACCCAGAACCCTCCGCTTTATCTCCACGTAACGAGCACAAACAAGGAAGGCCTTGAGAAGGCCGTCGCCTTGATCGACGATCTCATGAAGAAAGAGCTCCCCAACCTGGTCGATGAGCGCCGGTTCCGTCGCCGCGAACCCGAGCAAGTGGAGCGGGATGAGTACGGTCGTGTACGTCCCTCACCATATAATACTCCACCAGGAGCCACCCTCTTCATTCCTTTCAACTCAAGCTCATCAGGAAACGTATCACTAATCAATGGTATACAGCGTAAATGGCCCGAGGAGCGGATCCCCGTCGATCTCGAACCGATCCCTGGCTTCAACCTCCGCGCTCAGGTCGTCGGCCAAGGCGGTGCCTACGTGAAGCACATCCAGCAAAAGACTCGCTGCAAGGTTCAAATTAAAGGCCGTGGTTCTGGTTTCATGGAGCCCAGCACTGGCAGGGAAAGCGATGAACCGATGTTCCTGCACGTTGCGTACGTAACGCTCCTACACCCCTTCCTGGCCCTGCAGCGTCTGAGACAGCTTGCATTAATACTTATCACTTTTTGTTTTCTGCAGTGGTCCCGACCCGAACGATGTCCAGAGCGCAAAGGCCTTGTGTGAGGACCTACTAGCCAACGTCCGTGAACAGTACCAGCGTTTCAAGGAGAACCCGCCCCAGCACAGCTACGGTGGCTATGGCGGCCAGCGCGGAGACCGCTATCACTACGGTGGAGGTTACGGCGGCGGTGGTGGTGGTGGCGGCGGCGGATATGGTAACAACCATCACCAAAACTCGCCGTCTACTTCTGCCAGCCCGTCGACCCAAGCCGCGGGTGGTGCTGGCGGTTCGGGAACCGGAACTCCTGACTACAGCGCCCAGTATGCTCAATACTACGGAACCGACCCGTATGCTGCCTACGGCGGTTACCAGAACTACCTTGCCTACTACCAATATTATCAGGCGGCTGCTCAGCAGCAGCAACAGCAACAGCAACAATCCCAGAGCCCCGCTCCGCCACCGCCTCCTCCCGCCAGCGAGGCTCCTCCTCCTCCTCCTCCGGGATCGGGCTCTCCGCCACCTCCCCCACCCGGCGGTAGCTACAGCGCTGTAAGTAATATGTGACCGAGTCAATGTCGTGTGGTCAAGCGGAAATATTAACTGCTCTGCTCGATTTAGGTTCCTCCCCCTCCAGGACTGTGAGGTGGTGGTTGGGAAACTGCGACAGCAATAGCCCAGAGTAGATAATCAAGGAAGGCTATGCTATTCACGAATATGAAACGGTGATTCTATGCAGGCGCAATGGCTATCCTGCCTGCCAGCGAGCCCATCGACGACCGAGCTGCCTCTAAGCTGTCTGTACCTTTAGTCCGTTCTTTCGTTCTTATTCAACCGAGGTTTGGTCTGTGTTGCTAAAGTCTGTAGAGCAAAGCCGGAAATATGCGCTCATTGTTGATGCTAAAAGAACCTTTGCTGTTTTGCCTAGCGATTTATCTGGTTTGCTCAATGCCTTGGCTCTGGTAGGATGACTGCACGCCTCCTCCCTGGGGTGGTATAAACAATCATTCCAGACGGTATATAACCGTAATACTGATGTCTTTCGCGTACGCTGGCTTGACAAGAATAGTCGTGACAGTGGTAGATCAGCAAGATGGCCAGTATCTATACCCAGTATCGTTGAGATTCTTGTCGCAATATATATGAAACTCCTGAGAGATACTCAAACTTACTCCAAGGATCAACCTCAGGAAAACACCCCTGGAAACATCCTCTGCATATACCACGGGACGTCCATGTCGACGAAGTCGTCCGAGTGGCTTTCGGGAGCCATTTTCGCCTTTCGCTGGGCAAGAGCGTGCGAACCTTCTTTGCAGAAGTCACAAGCAAAGTCACATGGTGATGCAGTCGAACCATTAGTTTTTATCCCAGACGTAGGGACTTGGGAGCCCATCTTCTCAAGTTCGAGATCGCCAAAGAAATCCTTGATCAGGTCATGCCTGCATCGTGTGGTATTCTCACAGTAGCTGATCACTTTCTGAAAGCTCGCTAATCGGGCAAGCTGATTTTGAACGGTGGTTTGTGCCTTGCTGTTCTGGTTGCTCATATGCGCACCAGTGCGATTGCGAGCGTTCTCAATGTCTCGTTGCAGACGGTCAAGAATTCTGTCTCGCTCTTGTGTGTTGTAGTAGACAATGGATGCGGCAGCATGACCGTCGCGACCTGCACGACCGGATTCTTGAACGAAGCCTTCGAAGCTCCGTGGCGGACTCCAATGAACAACGAAGCGGACGTGTGGGCTATCGATGCCCATGCCGAATGCAGTAGTAGCGACTATAATGTAAAATGCCGGGTGTTCCGGTGATTCGTTTCTATTGTTTGCATGCCGAGGGAATGTCTTAGACGATGTCCATTCGGACTGAATGCGCGTACGGTCTTCGGAGGATAGGCCAGCGTGGTAAGCCACAGCGTGGATACGGCCAGGCCAGCTTGCTGAGAGAGCAGGGGCGAGTTTGTCAGATACGGTCCTGAGAGGCACATAGATAATCCCGGATATCGGGGGAAGCGTGGCGGGTGCAGTGCCAGTGACGGCCTCTCTGCGGGCCTGGACAGACTGGAGCCATGAGACGAGGTTGTGAATCTGAAAGTTTTCTGGCTCTGTGGGGTCGCTTGCAAAATCGTCGAGGTACCTTATCTCGTAATGTATGTTCGGACGCGCAGAAGGAGTGTTGAAGATCTTCAACTTGGAAGTATCTAATCCAAGAAGTTTGATGATGTCTTCCCGAACACGAGGCGTTGCAGTCGCCGTAAGCGCACTAATTGGAACCGGCGGATTTGTCAAAACTTGCTTGAACCAGCCCAGTTCTTTGTACGCCGGCCGAAAGTCATGACCCCATTCACTGATGCAATGCGCTTCGTCGATGGCAACACGAATTAGCTCACCCTGACGGTGAACAGTCTGTAGATTGCGTCGAAAGCCTTCTGTTTGACAGAGTTCTGGTGTCACGTAGAGAAGCCGGGTCTTTGGATGACCCGATAGGAGGTCGTCCAGGATTATACGCCTCTCAGCAATCGGAGTGGTGGAATTGATTGTTGCTACCGCAATCCCTAAAGCTTGAAGTGCCTTTACTTGGTCGGTCTGCACGAGATATTAGTACTGCTCGAGAGTGATTGTTTCTCAGGCTGACCATCAAAGCAAGCAAAGGACTAATCACTACTGTCACTAAGAATATTATCAGATGCATTCCAAAAGACGAAGATGTTCAAAAGGTAGACGCAGGTGGACCTACCGCCATGGCTTATTACTGCAGGTAGTTGGAAGCACAGGCTTTTCCCGAATGAAGTGTTTGCCTGCAGAAACACATCATGGCCGTTGATGGCCGCCGTGATTACCTCACGCTGAAGAGGACTACACAATGATCTGTATTAAGTCCAGTTACTCTAGTAGGAACTGGGTGACAGCATGAACATACCGAAAGGACTTCTTCCGGAAAACTCGGCGGAGGTAGAAGTCTATATCCACATTGCGACGTCTCAAATTCCCACTTCCCATTTCTGCAGCATTGTTAGAAGCACAACAGATGACTGCACAGGCTGGGAGGATTCCCCAGAATCGAGATTTGAAGCATCGGCTGGAAGACGCGACGCGGGGAAGGTACGATACGCGATGCCACGTGATATCGATAGTGACCCTAATCGGGAAGGCAGATGGGATTCTGATTCAGTGAGAGCATCTCTCCATTGCCAATTATCGCTTCTGCCATGGAATTATACCACAGCTTGATCTGTTAACTTGGAGTGCGTTTCTAGGCCCAATTCCTGAATTCATTACTGATGATATATCATTTGAAAAACTAATAACACACGAGCTTGTTCGCTGTACAGGATAACAAGCGACAGCAATTAGCTGTTGCCGTTGAAAACCGCTATCAGGCTTCAACCTGAGGGTATATACTACTATAACAGGTCTATAATGTACATGCATCACCGTCCCACACCTAAACCTCCATCATTGGCTAATATCGCCTTTGGAGTCTGTTCATCTGCCTCTCTAGCTCCTCCTTGGCAGCCAGGACGTCCAGCGCCTTGCGCTTCTCCGGCTGCCAGATCCGTATAATCTGCAGCCAGACCTTCATAAGCTCCTCTGGTCCGCAGCATGCGCCGAATGCGCGGAGAATAATAATGACCATTCGGCGACCAAGAAAGACGCCATTCTCTATCCGGCGTTCGATTTCTTCCGAATCTCGCGGCTCATTTTGCAGCTCATTTTGCAGGTCCTGAGCTTGCTGTCGAAACAATTCGTCAACATCGATGTCTTCTTCGAGAGCAGCCATGCCTTCACTGGTATGGGAGACACCTCTGCGCTCGTCGTACTGGCCCATCACCTTCTGTTCCTCGTTTCGAGCCTCGCCCCACTCCTTGGCATCGGTGCCAGCAAAAGGCAATGGAGTATACAGGCCGCTTGGCTTTCGCGAAATTGTTGGCCAGCCTATCTCAATCGCGGCGGGGGCCTTTAACACCGGGATCTCTGTGATGTGCTTTCCACTTTGGCTGCGGTACATTTCAATAAGTCTCGTCCTTGACTCGTAGAGAGCACGCAGATAGGTTCTCCAAGCTACACGTAGCCGTTCAGCCGTCCAGCCTTTCTTGTTGCGCCCGTTGCGAGCGAATCCGTCAAAAAGCAGGAGGTATATCATACCACGCGGCGGAACCACGAAGACTTTCTCCATGTCTGCAAGGACAGACATGAAAGCATGAATATCAGCAGTTTTGTAAGCGTGCAATGAAAGAAATATGTGGAATGTCCGAGTGTCAGGGATTGCGTGAAGCGATTGCTGAAGCGCGCGATGGTGTTCAGGCATGATTTCTTTCAGTGAAGTGGATTCTTGCAGGACTCGGCCCAGCTTCTTCACTCGGCTCCGATAGAGGTTCATCTCCGATGTGAGATGCGGTGTTTTTGAATGCTTCGACTCGATGCTTAGTTCCCCTGTCTCTTGGGACTTTGCTTGGGCCTCAAGCATCTCTGCATATATCTGCTTCGCTGAGTCCACATCCCCGGCGCGAATGAATGACGCCATTAGGCAGTTCATTACAACCGTGTCAACAATCTCACCACTCGATACAAACTCGTTAAATGTCTCTTGGATTCCAGCAACATCCTCTTGCATACCACAATAGTAGAGCTTGGAGACCTTTCCAAAGCGCCGGAACTCAATATTACGCTTCTTCATTTCCTCCAATAGTCGTTCCGCGACGGTGAATTGATTCGCTTTGATGGCAATATCGAAGAGGATGGTGAACACGACGTCATCAGACTTCACACGCGCTAGATATTCCATTTGTTTCCATAATCCAATAGCCCTCACCACATCTTGCTTGCGTACCTTCCCAGACGCCCGTCCTGCAAGGTGTATAGCAGAACTCCAGAGTGAGCGGGATATGGGCAGCTTCGCAGCGACCATGTCTTCTATCAGCGCAAGGTAACGACGAGCATCCACCCAACGACGGTCTGGAGGATCGGCAAATCGACGTAGGAGTGCTCCTCGGGAGCGTTTGGACAGGTAAGCAACCCCGGGGGAGGGAAGATCTCTGTAGAGTCGAAACACGTAATGGTTTGAAATCCTCTCATTCCACATAGCGTCCAAGAATACCTCAACCGTTTTGTACTCCAAAGCGTCCCGCGACTTGTCTACCGCCGGAAATACCTCGTTTGAGGGTGGTCCCTTCTGTGTCTCGTTTGCAACAAGATCAACTGCCTGTTTCCAGTTGAGTGTATTGCCAAAGGCAGCTCGATATAATTGTGAAGTCGATGTATATGCTTTCCTGCTTGGACTTGTTCTTTTGTGATGGCGATATTTCTCCGACTTGCTCGACGAATCCGGTAAGCGGCCAATCCTATCCTCATCAGGGGCGTTCTCGCTCGCAGTCAAGTTATCTTCGCTAGTTGACTCTGCGTCCGCTGTTGGTAGCTCGCTGTTCAACTTCTCCAGATCTGTTTCTCGTAATCCTCCATGTGACTGTAATGTTGATTCTGTGCCCGCGCCTTGGTAGCGAGCTTCGAATGAAGATCCCGCTGACGGGTTGTTCGCAAAGCAGTTCCCTTCACCATCCTCATCTTCTACTCTCAACGCAACACCGGAATTAATCATGCGTTGTGCGCTTGAACGATGCAGACTCCCTGTCGATGTGCCTAGACAGTCCAGGCGATGTTTCGACGACAATTGCCTGCGGTGTGTCAACCCCCGATCCTGCCATCGAGCGACGTTATTCCCTGGATTCTTCATGGAGACCGTAGAGATTCCCCTGGCTCGAGGGGTGTGCTCATGGCAGTAACCTGCCATGACCAGGGAGCTGACGAAAAGGTCTGCTAACGACGCCGCGGTAGGGCGGGCACGTCTGGAACTGAGTCGTCTGAAGGAGGCATTGTAGGAGAACGGTTCGGAGTTTGACATCGAAGTGTGACGGGTGGGGAGACTCGTATCCAACCGCTGCGAGGGGAGAAGTCGCAGGTCGGTCGAGTTCTGGTACCTATTGGGAGGAGGCATGAGATGGCAGACATCGTGGCATTGGATCAGCCCTGCATGTCCCGAGGAAATCTCGAGCAGCTTGAAGGGAAACGGCCCGAGAGCTCTTCAAGCGTGGCAGGAGGCAGTTGAAAAAGAAAACGCGGACAAGGACGAGGAACGTCCCAAAGGGCAGAGGGGGGGAGGAGGAGGAGGGCGTAGGAAGCAGTAGATAGACAGCGAGGTTGAGCTCTGGGTCAAATTATTATTATGGGCTTTGGCCTTCGCTCTGGCTTTGCACCGGGCGGAGCCGGCGACGGGCCAATCGGAGCCGCGCATTGCCAATCCTCTTTTTTGCACCTGCGCAGGTATCTGGAACACCAAACTCCCGGACCTTCCCTGCCCATGATCTTGTCTCCCGAACACCTGGGTCCAGGCCAGACGTCGTCATATCATTGAGTTTGGTCGATTAATCATCCCGCCGGCCTTTTGCTTCATCCCTCTGTCGGATTTGTTGCTCTCCGGATCTGTTCTTTCCTCCCCGCTGATTCTGCACGGCCTTCTGGCTGCCGCGTCCAGCTCACGATGGGCAAATATAACCTCACGGCCCTCCGGGTTCGCCAAATCGCTGTGGCACAGCAATCCGCCGGCAAACTTCGTCAAACACCCAAATGGCTTGATATAATGCACGATGTCCCCCCCACTGAGGTCCTGGTGCGGAACCGACCTCAACAACACCAATTGGTTCGCCAGCGCCTGAAGACTGTTCCTGGCGCATCGAGGCCGCAGGCCGTCTTCGAAGTCCAGGAGAAACGCATCAAGCCGAAGAAGGCAAGCCGCATGTTCCAGCCTGTCGAAATCAAATACGAGGAGGATCAACTGCGCAAGGAATTTTTCCGCGACCATCCTTGGGAGCTTGCCCGACCCCGTGTGCTTGTCGAAAAGTCCGGCAAGGACTTTGAGAGATATAACTGGAGCCGGCTCCAGCAGCGGGGAAAGCACTTGGATGGTGAGAGGTATGTCTAGTGTCCTCGATCTGTAGGCGGGAGGATCTCGCCAATAATTAGATATTTGATGCTAACTCCCCCGGTTTCCGGTGAAATAGCGTTGTTCAGCGACAGCTTTGGCTCCTTAATAATGTCCCCGATATGACCAAGAGCGCCGCTTACGATATTGCACGCCGCGAGTTCTACCGCCTCCGTCTACAGGAAGACATTGAACGACGTGTTGCTGCTGAGGAAGCCGAAGCTACTGGTGCTGTGTTCGGACCGACACGTCTACAGATCGGTATGGACCTCGAGAACAAGGAGTATGAGCGTTGGAAGGAATGGGCCAAGTTGCAGGCCCAGCTTTCGGACCAGAGAATGGCTGCGTTCCTTGGGGCTCCGGAAGTCCAAGCTGCTGAGGAGCAAGAGACGAGCTTGGATGATGACGCCACGGAAAAGGTTGCGGTAGCAGCCTGAAGGCGGGAGTTGTTACTTTTTGAGGGTTTTAGTATTGTCAACCCCCGGATGAGGCGGGTTTTGCCAGACTCTCTAATGGCTTATGTACACTACTGGACTGTCGATATGTTTTCTTTTCTTCTCGAGTCGCTCTGTTTTACTTTTATGCTTTTCTCTATATCCTTTCTTGCTGTGAATAAGAGTTTTGGGTCACGTATAAATTGTCCTTTTCAGCTGTGTTGGTCAGGCCAAGTGGACAAGGGCGGGGTGCACGCATGGATAGCAGGCAGTAGAGCTAACATATCGACTATACACCTCTAGCCGAAGAGTGATTTGGAACCACAAAACAGCGCTGTGAGGCAATGACCATCTGGAACATGAAAGTCGGAAGACAGTTCGTGAGCAGGCGAACCTCAAACAATAGTGGTGTTTCAAGTGTGTCTGCCGGGTGTCCCCTGAGCCAATCATTGCGGCGGACTTATCGCGCCCGAACCCCCAGAAAGTTATCGACCAGGCGTTTCTCCGATTCAACCCTCTTGTCAGTCGGCTTGCTCGACCTGCAAGAGACTGCTGGCCATCTTATCCATTGGCATCTGCTTGCATCTCATTGACAGAGAGTGTTCTTACGAATCTGAGATTCAGTTCTGCTGCATGTTCGGATAATCTGCCGGGCAGTGGTTCTCGTCTGACAGCTGCACCTCTTCGCGTTTCACTGATCAACTTAACGCCGGCTTGCTCTGAACCCCGACCGCATCCTTTGGCACAAAAGTCGACTGCCAGTGTGATCGAGCCCTTCAATACAACCTGTCAAATCGATAGCTCAACCCGCGATCGCTCAGAGTTTCATCCAACGATCTCTCCCTACCTCCGTACCCTCATTAGAACCCGAGCGGGTCTTCGTACGTTTGAAGCCCAACCGAAGCTCTCTGAGCCAGCCTCGCGCCGCAGTCGAACCTGGGTCTTCACAACCACATGCCTTTCGCTTTTGTACAGCATTGACGTATATTTGTTTGGGTTTTACGGTTACGTCGCTATTGCAGCGCCTGTTGATCATGCTTCGTTCCGGTCTCAATGCACGTCTTGGAGACTCTCTGACCATCTGATCAATTGTCCGATATTCGAATACATTGGAAATTCGACCAGTGTCAAACACAGCCGCTAGAATAGCTTTTTTCTCATATTTTCAACCATGCTTTCTACAATGGTCCGCCCGGAGGACGCCATCAGGATGCCTCGTTCATACCGAAGCGACGTGGATGAGGAGGATACTAGCAGGCGAACTCCGGAACAGAACACCCTCTCCTCTTCGTCCTCCTCTTCTAACAATGACGCGGCGGCAAAAAGCGAGGACGAGGTTACACTGGTGAACGGGTCTGCTGGTGATGGTCGCAGCAGTAGCCTAGGGAAACATCAGACGGGTCCCCGTCTTTTGTCACCCGACGAAACGATTGAATTGGCGCGGCGAGCAGTGGAAAACGGCATCCAAGAGACCAAACGCTCCCTAGCAGGCAGTGAGGCAGTCAGCGATGTGGTGAAGCCAAAATTGACCATTGACTTGGGCCATTCCAACATTGTCCGTATACCCGAAGCGGTAGTTGACATCATCAAAGATGAAGTTGAACGGTGTGTAATACGGAATATAAAAGCCCACAGTTGAGTTTAGAGAGTAACTAACGTCCTGCAGCCTCTCGCTATCGAATAATCACCTTTTCCATATACCCTACCGGTTCGCAGAATGTTCCCATCTTCGGTATCTCAATATTCGAGCGAATAGTTTTCGAGAATTTCCCAAGGGGGTGAGTGTCATGTTACTTGTCTTACCTACAGAGTGATTCTGGGGATTCTAACAGGAAATTTAGGTATATAAATTGCCGCTTCTTGAAATCTTAGACATCAGCCGCAATAAGATCGGCCACCTCCCAGAGGAAATCAAGAAATTGTCCTCGCTCCGGGTCCTATCGGTAATGCAGAACCGCCTTGATGATTTGCCTCTGGGGATCTCCGACATGAACAAACTTCAAATTCTTAAAGTAGCCGGGAACCCCTTGCGGGGCCCCCTGCGACGGCTTCTCGAGACGTCTGAGACAGAGTTCGCCCCCTCGACAATGACGGATAATGAGAAGGAGGTCGCGGTTACTGCCGAGCTGAAGCGGTTCTTGAAAACCAAACAGCCTGTTACGACTCTGGAAGTCGAGAGGAACGAGCTCAGGTATGGACTGAACCTGTCATCTGGAAGCAACTGACTAACACCGACATATCCAGCGAGGGCATGTTGGACACCCCTAAACCCGTCAAACGCGGAGTGAGCAGTCGGTTTCCGGTGATCCCCAGCACCGGTGATCTTTCTTCCGACCCAAAGTCACCGTCCTTGTCTCGTCCTCCGCCCATACCTCTCAAATCGCACTATCGCATTGCTTCGGGACAGCATTCGGTCTTCCAGGGCGGTTTTCTCCCACGTTCCGGCGCTAGGCCTCTCGCTGGAGTCAATGAACGCAACCGGAGCAACAGTGAAGGAATCATCCAGGCCTCTCTGGCCGCGCGTAACAAGCGGATGGGAGTTATCCGGAAGAATACCGACTTAGGGACGTTGGACGAGACCCGGCCGTATCGGAACAGTCATTTACGGGGTTTGAGTTATGGCTCTATCCTTCGCACTCGGCCCATTGCAGCCGTGTGCAACAGTAACTCTTCGAGCCCCAGTAGCCCGAGGGAACGAAGGCGCTTAAAGGATGGCTTTGTCAATCGAATGTCGAGTCTGCCAGAACACAAGGGCGAAAGGGAAACCGCGGAACCTATCATCGAGTGTGCAAAGGGGATTCTTTTTGCACTCTTCCAAGTGCAGTCGAATGTTTCCTCTCTGATCAATGTGATCAAACGCGATGATGCTCGGCGCAACAGTCTCGAGATCGTGTTCTACAACGCTTCTACCCACGTTGAACGTCTAAATGAAGCTATAGAGAATGCGGAGCACCATTCTGACGAGGTGGATGCTGTGCGCTTGTCGAATGAGGCCGTCAAAAGGGAATGCGAGACATGCATAATTGCGTACACTCATGTTGGAACGCAACTACGCAATAGCATCGACAAGATAGTCGCCAATGGCGACCCACGCTACTTGCGTTCCTTGATGCTCATGATCTTTGGCAGCGTAGTTGAACTGCGCAACGCCTGTGCGAGCTTGGGCATCCCACTCCAAACCCGCAAGCCGCCCTCTGCGACAAAGCCTTCTATACCTGAAATCAAAGAGTCGGCTAGCTCGGACCGCTTCCTTGGACCAACAGTCACTCCAACCAGAGGGAGGGAACATTCTTTGTCGACGCGCCGATTGCGAAGTGACACCACAATCCAGCACCCTCAGATCACTACGACTGGGCCTTTCCAGGCTGCTCAAAACTACCAGTCCGCTGTCAGTTCGCCTGGCTTTGCTCCGACTCCGTTCAGCCTTGGGGCACGAAGCCGGTCGAGTAGCAGGTCTAATCATATCAACACATCCGTACCGTCGTCACTCGCGACCCCTCGTTCAGGCGAGTCATTCCCTCCAATGCCCAGCGCCGTTGTACCTCGAATCAATCCCTTGACAGGCCTAGATGAGATCGAGGAGGAGCGAATCTTTGAAAAGATCTTCTATCAACTTACCTCTGCCTACACCGCTGCCCTCCAAGCGTTGCCTTTGGCGCGCCGTCAACTAGTGCGATGCCATGAGGTAGCGGAGCAGGAACATGAATCCGAGGGCATATTAATGCTATGGAACAATCTGATCCGGCGGTGTCGGGTATGCTTAGAAGTATCCGAGGCCCTGGGTCTTCGTCTCTCTAACATGAAGGTAAAAGAGCCTGGTGGCGGAATGCGGAACCAGCGTGAGTTCTGGCAACTCTGCAAGGCGTTTATGCAGTCCTTCGTCGATCTAGTTACCGACATGAGGGAGGTTCGAAGTATGCAGCTCCTCCCGGGTGATATCATTGTCATACTCCGTCCAGTCCAGAGAGCAAGCAGAGAAGCAGGTCGGTTGATCGACGCCTCGCCGTGGTCTTATCTTGCCGATATGGCTCCAAGCAACGCAGCAGCAAACATTTACGGGCCCCCGCTACAATCTCAGCATTCACAGCACCAAAATACCGCATCCAACGCAAGCAGCTTTCATTTGAACTCCGGCGTCTCCCCGCAATCCGTCCATCTCCCGGCGACTCCGCTAAGTGCTGCCCTTGGTCCAGCCGCGCAGGCAACCGTGCCTTCTACCCCCGCAAGTGCGTACAGTGACAAATTCTTCGAAGGGGATGTGTTTCAGAGAGCTGACTCGTTGCTCTCAATGCCCAATCAGGCGCCATTTTTCAGTCGTCGGTGAGACGGTAGCATTTACACCTCTACGAAAGAGGCGGTGTTTCATTATTTGGAGTCTGTGCTGTGGTGATTGGAGTTCTATCGCATATTCTTGTGCTTGCTTTTGTTGCTCCGAGGAGTGGCTGCTCTCTAGACTTTCACCCATGACCTTTGCAGGTACAAAGTACACTCTACTTGGGAGTTATCAATTCTTACCAAGACCAGACAGAGAGCCTGGTCGCGTCTGTTTCAGTATGCATACCTGGATTGTATCGTGCGCAGTCGTGATCCGAGTTGAGAATCCTCAAGCTATACACACCCACCCCGTCCTGATTTACATTGTCGATATTCGTTCAGTTCAGCCTTGTTTGTCTGTTTGTTCCTTTAGTCGTTTCTTTATTTGTTCATCATCACCTGTCCGCATTTTATTCTACACTCGGAAACGTCAGGGAGTCGGGGATAAAAGGGACATCTACTACTACCACTACATATCTGGACTTTTTGCGACGGGAAAAACGGCGTATGGATTCTTTAATTCCCGGGGACAGAAACCTTGCATAGCGTGTCATATTCCTAGCTTCCTTTTTACATTCCCTTTCCTTGCCTTTGATGGATAATGACTAGAGCGAAATGAAAGAATATATTGTGATTTAGTTGCCTGTGTTGGGGTGATACTAGTTAGTAGTTTGTGCTGTCTGTGGATGGGTATTAGCCGAGATTTGCAAAGAAACATGGTACGTGCTGTATCTATAGACTAACTACTAATGCCTATGTGATCTAGTTTGATACCTCCACGGGATACGTATGTTGAAAGTTATGCGTGCTTGCAGCAAAGCAAAGGACGAAAGGAGCCCGCAGGTGATGAATGCCAGATACCATGGGTTATCAAGCACCAAACAAGAAATTTCGTGCATATACGAATGAAGTATCCGTGCTTAGACGAGTGAGCAGTATGTATGCAGGTAGTAGTACGTAGGTCAGTAGATAAGCAAACAAATCAAGCAAGCAAACATCATACTTATCTTCATCTTTCGATGCCAATAATCATGTACTTAGTGCTAGTAACCAGATATCCTGCATTTCCCACAAACAAGACTAGTCATTACTCGCATATGCCGTCGCCTACTGCCTGCACAATGACAGACAGCTGCACATACTTACACACAGACAAGGAAATACAACACACAGACATAGAAATATGAAAGCAGATCTTGTACAATGAATAAATTTCTTACGTATCAAGTATATTTCCCTGATTGTGAGACATTTAATATGATTGCCCCCCTTTATATCTTCAATGCAACCCAGATTTAGTTAGCAAGTTACATTGAGATGTACTCCGTACTAATGCGGGGGATAAAAAGACTGCAGAATCTGCACGGACGATGTATTTGGAATGGAATGGAATGGAGGGGACTAAGATTGAGATTGCGACGGTCATCCGGGGATGGAAGAGGGGGGGGATCCAAGCGAGCGAGAGCGTTATAAATGCTGATACGGTTCGATTACCAATGCTGTATCTGCATAACCCAGGGGGTGCGTGGGCTCGCTGAAGGTCCGTGGTACAGATTGTTGATGCGTTCGTTACTTGATTGTTTGCTTGCTTGCCTGCTGCTGAAGAAGAGGAGTGTAAGTAGGGGATGCAGGAGGTCTGTTGCTTCCTGTTATGTGGGGTGTAGGTTGTACAAGATCTGATGGAGAGAGGGGAAAATATGAATAGTATGAAGGAGGATGAAATGCTTGGCTGAGGGGAATGTTTGGTTGGGATGTGTGTCCGAGGTGAGGAGGGAAGAAGGGGGAGGCACTATGATGTCTTTGTGTGTGATTCTGATTTGGCTTGGCTGGGACGATTGGATCCCGCTAAGTGGCGCTCTTGGGACTGAGATAGGCTTTTGTTAGCTTCCTGTGGCATCTAGGATCTTCCAGAATGGTATTTCCTGAAGGAATGCAGCAGAGGTCAAACAATGGCAAGGGGAGCTCGTAGACGAGGTGAGTAGAGTAGATGAAGACTCGGTAATAGTTCGGCAAGTTGTGAGCTTTCGCTATACACATAACAAGAATTCTTATTGTTCGTCATGAATAGATGTGAGATGGGGTGATCAGTCAATATCTAGCCAGCATTGTTGCAATTGCACTTCTCTGGTCATTGTACTTTGTAAATGATTGAGAGCTTTGTCAATTTCTGCGGCATGTATTACGAAATGTAGAGTGGGCATTGATCCTGCAGCGATTGGAGGGGAAGGGAGGGGGGGGAGGAGGGCAATGAGCAAAGATACGACCAATCGATTGGCATATGCGCTCTAAGAATCGATGTCTTTCTGCTCGTATACTGCCCGGATATTGTTTCCAGCCAGCCTTGGGCGGAAGATATCAATCTTTTCCTGTCAACCATGGTAGTCGTAGTGGGAATAGCCGTAGTACGCTAGTCGCGAAAGAAGTGACAGGCACTGACAGGCACTTTCTCAATGCCTAGACTACTTCCTGTATACGTGCTGGGATTGATTAATTGAAGTAGCAGCAGAAGCAAAGCATCCTGCAGACCCCTCGATGCTGCATAGGGCACGGGGCACAGGGCTAGGGCCGATGGTGCTGTCACGGGATCGAGCATTGTCTCCAAGCCAGAAAAGCTCCTTCCCAATCATCGATCATCCATGTCTTCATCGAGTCCTGGCGCCGTCGCATCGCATCAATCCAGCGGCATCTCGTTTGTACTCGTCTTCGCTCCCCCTCGGTTTCGCGGCTGCCTGTCGTCGGGTTGGAAGCATCACTTTTTCGGATCATCAGCTCAGATGATGCAGCAAGCGTCGCGACTACGGGCCGAACAACCCCACTGAAAAGTCGGTGTCGTTGGGAGAAAGGAAGCCAGCCAGAGAGCAAGAAAAAGCCATAGGCGTCATCCATCCCCTGTCACTATCTACCACCACCACTCATTCCATCCCGCCTTGACATTGATAATTCCCAGGCGCGGACGGAGAGAAGCGGCATCGCCTCCCCGCCCCGCCTCAACAAGATCAAAGTAGAAAAACAAACTCACTAGCAACGGAGCCAATGAGGGTGCAGGACCGAGCATACTTCTCAGCTTGTCGCCTGCAGGTTGCGATGGAGAAATGGGTCTGAACCATCACCGCTCTTTATACCGGCTTGCTTGCAAACGGGCTTGGCTTTCCAATTGCCGCCTCTCCGACCAGCTCCGGAATAATGAGGCGAGTTTGCGTTGGAGGGTCAAATCCATCGTGATCGGTGCACTACTAAAGTGAGGCGCCAAGCGCACGCAAGACCGCCGGCAGTCAAGCCCCTTTATTCGTGCGCGGCCTTGGATAATGATCCAGCCACATTGTCTGCTCCCCCTCCGTTTTGGTCGACTGCTTCCCTCCGTGTATCCACCCCCTGGCACCTCTTTTAAGATTCTACCCTTCAGCAGTCTCCGAGCTTAAATAATAATCTTACGATGTCGATCGATGGTTCCATCCCACTTACAAAGTACATACGGAGCGGTCGGAGTCAATAGTCCATTCTTCATCCCGCGTGTGAGCCCACTTGCAGGGGGGGAAGCCCGGCCGGATTCTGATATTGAGGTTAAGACTGGGGAGGTGTGGTCCAGGGCTGTCGCTGACTCGGGTTGGCCTACCGATGCCACCACGCGTGTGTGAGATCCACTCCGACCGAGACTCTTGAGTGGGTTTCTCTATCTATCAATCTGCTAGGGGCGGGTGGATCGGTTAACATCCCCCATGTCCCACCCTAAGGGAGAAAGTGTGGAAAACAATGGAGGCAAGAAAACATGATCACGGCTCTTGGTTTAACCACTTCCCCTCTAGCACCACCCCTGTTGCCCCTACAACGGGAGACGGCAATGGTGAAGGAATAGGGGTCTGTAGCGCAATCTTTCCGTCGGCGGTCACCGAAAGGAATACTCTATCGCAGTTCTTGAATGTCGGTGGACCAAAACGGAATTCAGTCGGAAACTATCATTGTCAATCCCAGACACGATAGAACGAAGTAGGTGATGAGTCCTACGACCGGGCTTTAAGGTTTCAATGGAGCATTTTCCAGTGATTTGATCGCAAACAGACCAACGGAAGAATCTTCTTCGGAGAGGCAGCATCACTGTACAGTAGGGGCCCTAGAGGCGCGCAGACCACAGGGACAATTAATCTGTACCTGGCAGGGTACAGGCGACTAGAATGTACCATTCACAACACGAGGCCAATGTGGATGGCATGACGGGGATGGCCTTGTCCAGCAATGGTCGGTGTCGCATAGAGCCGTTGGCGGACTGTTTCCCGCTTTGGGAGAAAGGCCACTAAGAGTAATCAGGACGGAGGAAGGAATTGGAATGATCTGATCGGAGCGGACATGGATGTCCTGACAGAGTTATATCCCGATCTTCTTCAGTATGTTGACAATGACGAAGACAGTCCGTCGCAAAGAATAGCTTCGGGGGGGTTACTTCTGGATGCATCAAGGGCTGGAATGCCCGGATGCCCCCTGCTTTGCCCTGGTTTCTACTACTCCCAGGGCAAAAGGTAAACTGGGAATCAAAAATAAGAAAAAGCAAAAAAGGCAAAAAGAAGGAAAGAAAAAGGGAGAAAAACAAAAAAAAAGTATGAATTAAAAAAAAGGAGGAGAAAAAGCAATACACCCTTAACATGAGAAACCGGATCAAGATGGATCCGTGGCCCAAATTGATCTGAACACCGGGGACGGCAGGCTGCATCGTCCCTCTGGCTGTCTGCACATTATTCAAGTGGGAATACACCGATTGCCCTCTGGGTACAGAGGTGCATGTATACTCCGTGCTTTGTGTCCGGCCCCTTCTGCACCATGACCTAAATTATTTTGTTTCTTTTTCGACGATCTCCCCGTCTTCCTCCTGGCCGAATATATCCTACCTGACCAAAGGAATTGGTGGCGCCTGTCGCTGAACGCATGATTGGGATTTTGGGGGGGACGGCCTCCCTATCACATCGGCGCCGGTGGTAAGGGACAGTCAGGACCGGATTCACTCCCACAATGGCCGGGTACCAGCATTGGCACCGGCACACGCCCGGGCTTTGAGATCGTACACGATACCGGGGTGTTGTTGAGGAATGCTGCTGGGGGCGGAGGGGAAGGGAGGGGGGTGGGAGAAAGAGTTAAAACAAATAAAAAAAAAAATTGGCAAAAAGCCAGCAGGGATTGCTGGTGGTGAGATTTGAGTTTCCCTCTGCGCCTTCGCGCGGCCGTTAAGGAATGAACGAACGGATCAGGATCAGAAGCAGGCTCACGGCGCAGCAGTGATCCCATCCCATCCGATCCTCATCTGATCCCATCCTTTACCCACTCGCCTGCCAGAGCGAACCCAGTTAAGAAAAGGGAAACCCCCTCCCAAGCATCCCACGTCATCCACTATGTGACTAGGGATCGCTGGACCGACTCGCTGAACGTTTCCAAAATTCCCTTTCCCTCGGTGCCCGTTCCCAGGTGCGAAACAGCGCCCCGGAAAGTTCGTAGCTGCTGCAAGCGTCTAGATTAGATCAGCCTCACTTTTCGCAGCGCTCCTGCAAAAGGCAGTGGGTGCCTCTGACTAGTCAGTCGCATGCTGGCTGTCTTCTAACCTTTCTTTCTCTCTCTCTCTCTGTCTCGCTCTTGCTCTTGCTCTCTCTGTCTTTTTCCCTTCTCTGTCCCTACTATCTACTGCGATGCTACTGCGCCGCACTCTTTCCTTTTAGTTCTCCCTCCGGTGGCTCGTGTGTCCAACCTGCTACGGGCTTGTAATCCCTCCTTCCTTAAATCTTGATTGCGTGCAGGGCCATCCTTCTCCTCAGGCTCCGGACAACCGTTACTACTTACTACTAAGTACTCCCTACTTAGCAATAGGAGTATACTTACTACTGGACCTGCATGCCTGTTTCCCCGCATCATCATTGGCTATATCAACACACCTGATATCCCGGTCTCTTTGTCAACCTGGTTGGACCCGATTTGTCAGAGCAATATTGTCTACTGCTTCTCTGGTCGGCATTGAACTTCACTCTGCCACCTACCTTTGTTTGCTACGGTGATCCTCTTTCTTGTTGTTGTCGCGTAGCCATTGGACCTTGTTCCTTTCCATATATCTTTGCTGCCTGCGACGGTTCTCAACCCAGTTTCATCTGGTGTCCGGCCGTGCTTGCTGACTTGGCAAGGAGACGCAGATAAGGGAGAAAAAGAGGTGAACAAAAATAAAGAGGAAGAAGAAAGGGAAAAAAAGAAGGGAAAAAAAGGAAACTGGAATTCCGATTCGCAAAACAAGGAAATTGGCCCCAATCCCGAAAGGTTCACCTAGGGTCTTACTACTATCGAAACACTATTTTGACAAGCCCGGCGTCCACGGTTGCCCGTTTTATGATCGGCATTGGCGATCGACGTCGTTGACTAACCTCGGGTGCGTACTATTTCTCCCTCCCTCACCTGGGTTCCTGTCGACCGCAGGCAAGGACTGTTCGCAGGGTCGCTGCGAAGGGGTCCCAATCCGAACCCGCCGTCGAGTATAGGGCTTGCGGTGCCTTGCGTCCTATCGCCCAGGAAATGCCCGTGACCCCCACGTTCTAATCGCTGTCTCCAGATTTCCTCTATCCATTCTTCCGAGTCTACCCCAGACCATCTCTCTTCCTGGACTGGTGCAGTTTCTCGTACCTCGTCTGCTCCGAACCCTTTCCGGGCGTTGGCAAGATCGGATGGAGATGGACTTTCAAAAAACGAAGGAGGCCCGGCGAGATACGCCGAGCAAGAAGGAAGAAAACTCCGAATGCCCCCTGGAAGCCTATGGAGGCAGTGGTCATGCGAAGGACTCGCCCAAGAATGACTCTTTGGACCACCATCGCGATGCGAAGAGCACTCCGGACTCCGCGAATATGCACCAGCGACGCCAGCCGGGTAAATATACCTACCACGACGGTGTCGCCCCAACATTCCCTTCGCCTATCCAGGTGGCAACCCGGGTTCTGGCGCCTTCTGCACGGGCAATGCACATCCCCCCTGCCCTGCCACTCAGCTTGGAACAACATCAACGGTTACTAGCTGCTAAAAGGTACCCGCCAGTGACCAAGAGCACGCTGAGTGAACTGGACTTACCTTGTATTATGAGCAACATCAACCTCCGGATGGACGCCAACTTTGACCGTGATCTACACTTCAAACCTGACCTGCAGGGAGAAAAGGGCGAACGGAAACGAAAGGAGGCCCACGACTACTGGGAGGCTATGGCTGATGAGATCACTATATACGCATTCGGTGCCGCACATGAGACGAACGAGACAGGCAATGTAGGAGTCTCGGATAATCTATCGCGGACCTTTGAGCCGCGGCTACCAGCCATGTTCGAGACCTTGCAAGACGTCCTGAAATCGCTTGTCCCTGAGCGTGACCATCCGGCTGTGGTACAAAACCTTGAGGTAACACTCCTGATGCAGCAAATCCAGAAGGGTGTACTTGACATGGTGGGCGTGGCAAGCTGGCTAGCGGCCCTGCTCAAAACGCACTGCGCTCCTATGCGCGATGAATGGGCGGATAAGATGGTCAAGCAGATACGGTCAGGGTCAGAGTCGCAAAACTCGCACCAAATCGTCGAAGGGCTCAAAACGCTGTTCGCAATCTTGGAAGCGATGAAACTGGTAAGGCTTGGGCATGCTGGCCCCGGCGGCCACGCATATTGGATGGGAATGCTAATGTGCCTCTAGGATGTTGCCAATCACCAAATCCGTGCATTCCGCGTATTGCTCATCGAAGACACCGTTCCGTTCCTACAAGAGTATTTTCGAGGCAAGATCGAGAGGGACAATTTTTGTGTGGAGACATCGCGACGGTGGTATTTGGACCTCCGCGACCGCGAGTTGCGCCGCATGTCGAAGCCTGCACAGATGGACGGGTTCTGGCCTATCTCCCTCTTGTTTGGTGGTATCACCGACTTTCTTCTGCAGTACCGGCGACCGGACAAGTTCCCCGAAACGTTCGTTTTCGATTCGGACCGGCTGCGGCAGCTGCGGTCTTGTCTTCAAAAGCTGATCAACCTCGATATCTGTTGGTTCATCTTCGAGTCGTACATCAACGCACAGAAACGGTATCTTTCGGCGCCCGCGCAGACATACGCTACCTTTCGCACCCGTATTGGATCGTTAATGGAAGAGAACGAGGACTATCCTCGAGGGGATGCTCGGTGGCTGAAAAGTGTGCGAAGCATTGCGCTGGAGATTGCGAGATTCGCATGCGCCGCATGCTTTCAGGACGGATCGGTCTCGGATGATGTCATTGTGCAAATCGAAATGGCACTGGAATGCCACCTCTCGAGCCCATCCAACTTGTTCCAGTATTTTCAGAGCTCTCTTCGCGAGAAGCTGCTAGCGGCAACGTTTACGACGGCGAAGAAGTACATGAGCATGTCGCCCTTGGCCATCTGCGAATCGCAGCGCAACTATCCGCCCTCGTCACTGACACAGCAGCACTATGATATCGAGCGGATCGCCATGCGCCTTGCACACATGGGCGTGCTACACTGGAACGTCTGGGCGCCGATTCTATACATGCGCGAGAGTGTGTCACCGGTTGACGTGGCGAACAACGCGAGAACGGTCACTGACGTGGCGCGCTCGTCCACCCTGTGATTCAATCGCCTTGTTTCATTTGCTTTGAAGTTTTCTCTTCTGATGTACTCTTGGATTTGGGATTACCAAGCGGAGTTTTGATCTTGGATTATTGATTGCAGTTCAGCGAGTTTCATGCATGGTTTTCTGTTTTTTTTAATGGTCTGGCGTCCACGTGGGGAAGGGCATACATATATACTACTTCATACTGTTTAATGGGCCTGGTGTTAGGTTTCGGGCATTCGAAGGAAAACGGAGGATAGAGATGTGCGATATGCAAAGAATGGTGGGATGCTTTTTGGCAACTTGGCAATTTATGGTTACTCAAGATGTATTACTCCTAGATAAAATGTAGAGGTTTGATGCTGATATTTATGCTGATATTCATATGCATTGGATAATACAGGTTATGTAAGCTATTCTTCATAAACCTACTGGCACCTCAAAACACTAGTTAATTACGGAGTAGAGCATAGATATAGATTTAACATCAACATCATCTACATCGTTCCATTATTTGATATTATCCACTGGTCTACCCTCACCACTATACCCACAACAGACACAATGAAACAATAATTCCTGGACAGATATCTTCATTCTATCCTATTATTTCGTATATTTATATATATACCACGCTGTCGAATATATCCAACCATTACCACACCGAAGTGATCATCAACAGCACAAGCAAGTTACTAGCAACAACTCCATGAATACTAGCTACTGCTATACCAGAAGCTAGACTAAACCACATGATCAGATAGAAAGAAAGAGAGAAAATTACAAGAATGAAATACCCCTGGCTCCGCCCCCTCAAAGCAAAAGCCTTGCAACAAATAGCCCAGAAAACGGGGATTCAAAGCTCAGGCACCAAGGCTGTGTTGGTGGAGAGGTTAGAAGGGGAACTTACTCCTCTCTTCCCTCATATTCAGAATGACAGAGGGAAGCTGAACGAACATAAGAACGAAAAGAGAAGGAATAATGATGATAATGATGGGATAAGAGTCCTAAGCATCGATATGGGGATTCGGAATCTGGCTTTTGCGGTGTTGCATTCTCCTTATCCTTCCTCCTCCTCTTTTTCTTCTTCGGGATCAATATCATCTACTGGATCATCCGAGGCATATACACCCAGAGACAAAGCCAAGGAAGGGAATAGCATAACCCTCACCGCGTGGAAAAGACTCTCCATTCCTGATCTGTGCTATGCGCAACTTGAAGGAACCCCATCCCTCATCACCACCACTACCAAACCCAAGTCACAAGTCACAGAAGAAGCTAAAGAAGACTTTTCCCCCTCCCTCTACGCCCGCCACGCAAACACCCTCATCACGACCCTCCTGTCCACGTATAACCCCACCCACATCCTGATCGAAAGACAGCGGTTCCGCACGGGAGGCGGGTCCGCGGTCCAGGAGTGGACGATCCGCGTGGGTGTTTTGGAGGGGATGTTGTATGCTGTTTTGGAGACGATTAATTCGTCCCTTTTATCTTCTTCTTCTTTTTCTTCTGGTGGTAAGGTGCAGGTGTATCCTGTTGAGCCTGGGAGGGTGAGTCGGTTTTGGGGGGAGGAATCTGGGGATATTGGTGATGGGGGTGGAGATATGGTGGTGAAGAAGCAGAAGAAGAGGAAGAATGTGAGGGATGTGAAGAAGATGAAGATTGCGTTGGTGAGGGAGTGGTTGGTGTCTGCTGCGAATGACGATGGGGATGGGAGGGTAGTGCTTGGTGGTAGTGCTGGGGAGGGGGATGAGGTGAGGGAGTTGGCGAGTGCGTTTCTGGAAAAGTGTGAAGGGAAGAGACGGACCAAGAAGGGGGAAGATGGTGTGGATATTGGCAAATTGGATGATTTGGCGGATTGTCTTGTGCAGGGGGTTACTTGGTTGGAGTGGCAGAGGATGAGGGAGAAGATTGTTACGGAGGGGGGGATTAATTTATAATGGTGAATATCATGTTCATAATGTTTTGGATGTGGGTATGATACTAATGAAGGTAGCTACTTTTTACAAGTACTAGTAGGGATAGCATGTAGACGAATGTCATTCGCTCGACTAACAAAATCGCTTCGTAATCAAGGTCATCATCTTGGAAGAAAATATCTACTGCAAACACACACAAAACAAAATGTACAGAGAGCCGATGTACCCGCTAAGACGCCTTCGCCACCTGCTGGGTCACTCGCCTGATGTCGCATCGCCTGACATCCCGAGATTCATGTCCGAGAGGTTCACGAGAAGGTTTCGTGGAGAGAAAGAGAAATGGAGAGAAAAAGAGCTTTGTTCGTTAAGCGGTGGAATCGACAGATTCCAGAAGAAAGGAAGAAATGCCAATTGCCCATCCCTGGGAGGAGGTAACTGGAGAAGAGAAGTAAAGTCTAGGTTGGGAGGCCAATCCAAAGTCAAAAAAAATTGAAGTAAGTTTGTACCAGAAGCAAAACAGTAAATCCTCTCGTAGGTACAGTGCCAGCGTGTGCTTTTTACGCCACGATTGGGAATCTCAGTACAGGCGTGGCGTCAAGCTCGTGACCCGAAGCAGTCAAATTCAATTCAGTCATGGCTTTAGTAGACGCGGCGGAAGTGAGAGGGGAAAGCAACCTTGCTGCTGGTCTGGAAGCCAGTGGGCCGGGCAGCGCCGCTGGGGAAAGGGAAGGTGCCGTTGCCGTGGCCGTAAGGGGCGCTGGGGGTGGGGACAACGGTGGGCTTGCTGTGGGTGGTGGCCTCGGCCTGGGTGGTGGTCTCAGCCTCCTCGCTGGTGGACGCGGAGCTGACCTCGATCTTGGCAACGCTGTCGGGGGTGGAGATGGCACCAGGAGTGGCGGTCTGCAATGCATCAGTAAGGAGTTCAAATTGGCTGCTCGGTTTCAAGTGGGTTACATACCACAGTGACGGTGTCGTGGACAGTAACAGTGACCGGAGCACAGGTCTCACCAGCGGCAGCAGAGCCCGCGGGGGCGGAGCTACCAGCGACAGCGGAAGAAGTAGGGACCGCGTAGAGAGTGTAGGTCTCGTAGTCGGTGGAGGTCGAGTAGACAGTGGTGTCAGAGGTGACGGTGGTGTCCTGGGCAGTGGAGGAAGCACTGGCAGAGGGGGTCTATCATATATTGGTTAGTATACAGCCTTCACGCTCACAGAACTGGCATCCCTAACATACCACGTAGATGGTCTCGACGTCAGTCACGGTGCGGTGGATAGTGGTGGTGACGACGCTCTGGGTGGAACCAGAACCCAGAGTGTAGGTGAGAGTGACATCCTTGGTGGAAGTCACGGTGTCGTACTCAGTCGAAACACCGTTGCTACCAGTAGCAGCAGCAGCCGGAGCGGAGACGGGGGCGCTGCTGGAGACACCAGTGCCGAGGGGAACGGGCACAGGAGCGACAGACGAAGCACCAACAACAGCAGAGCTGGAGCTGCTGGCGTAGTGACCACCGATGATGGGGGAGCTAGCAGCAACGCCGGCGGGGGAGCTGGCGGGGGCGCTGGGAGCAACGGGAGCGCTGGAGTGCTCGGGGGTCGGGTAGACGGGGACAACGGAGGTCGACACAGTCTGGTTGTTGTAGCCACCAGGGTGGAAGTTCATCTGGCGCGCATGGAAGCCGTGGTTGTTGGCCTCACCGACGGCGGCGAAAGCACCCAGGAGGGCGATGGAAACCTTGGAAGTAAGCTGCATCGTGAAGGATTGATGGAGATTCGAAGAAGTCCGTGTAGATGGGATAGATATTCCGTTCTTGGGTTTATTTGGTAGAGACTGCGGGGAGGATTTCCTCAACGAAAGTGAGATGCGAAATCTATTCGCAAGTAAATCAAAGCAAGGTTGAAAGAGTGACTGGACGCAAGAAGGAAGGTCGCAACGTTCTCGCAGAGAGAGGTTGAACGGGAGAGAGAATGTAGCAGTCTGACGAGAGACTTTTTGAGGCCCGGGAAGAAAGTGAAGGAGTTTAAAGGGAAAAACGACCCGGGGGGGGGAAAGAGAGAAAGTCAGAAAAAGGGAAACCTAAAGGAGAACGCCGTAATATCGAAATTTGATTAAAATCATTCAATTCGGGATCCCTGCAGCCCGTCGATACGCGATATTACCAGGCACCGTATTTTCTCCAACGTCGTATGGAACAGATGCGAGATGCCCGTTGGTGGGCGAGTCTTGAGAAGATTCGCCCATACGGCGCTAATGTCTCATCTTGGCCGAACGAGGTGGTGTCGGGCGTGCAGCTGTGCCCAGTTGTTGATAACCCTTCAGCCAATCAACACTCGCCGCCCTCCTCCTGATATTGATCTTAATTTTAATTTCCTCAGTCCCGAGTGGGTCTCCGGCGCAGGAACCACACGCGGATTAGCTGGACTGGAGATGACGCCCCGTTTCATCCCCTCACCGCCTCTTCTCATTGGTGCTTGGCTGCCAGCTTAATCTCATTGTGCCTGTCCAAACGGGCCAACCGCACGGCTTCCGTCTTGTTCGACTTTTTTCTTTCCTCCCCCTCGTTTTGCCTAATACGGATAGTCTTCGTTGTGCTGTTGCTGCCAGACCAACAGCCAGCGTGCAGCAGGATCGCACAGCTTGTCTGAGAAGGATGTGTCGGTAAGCTGTTACCCCCCACTTCAAGGACCATTTCAGGGCCCTTTTTTATTTTCTGGTTCAGGAATAAAAGAAACAACAACAATAACAACGTAGATCGTGTGGGTTGTCAACATTGCCCGGATCTGGTAATCCCCGTAGGTCCTCAAACGGAGTATCCATGGAACAACTGTCGACCATCGTATGTTCAACCACCACGCTTGACTCAACCTCATTAATGGACCGGCGCGAAATCGTCATTACCGTAATTTACTGGTGGACACGCTTTAATCAACAATCCGCTGTGGATTTGTTTACTATCGCCTTCACTAGTTGACCGTGCGGAGATGACATCCTCCATTCACGCAACTGGGCAACGTATACACTCTACATAATATTCTGGAGACATGGAGAAAAGAAAGTAGAAAAAGGGGCACAATGAGTCTCGAAGGATCCAAGCTCTATCCTCATCCCATCATACAGTTAGCGAGCTCATTGCCAACACCCCCAAGCTTCTTACAGTAGTTTAGTCCAACGATGCTTCAAAGGGGCTAAAATGATACAGCCTAGTGGCTTTGACTCTGAGCTAAGACTCCTCGTGCTAATGGCGTGAGACGCTTTTGTAACCGAAGGGACTCAAGTCTGAGCCGAGTCTTTTCTCAACGCGAACTATGGAGAAGAGGGAGGAAGAAGTCCCCGAGGAGGCTCAGTATATCGTCAATCCCGATATCATTTCCGTCAGTGGGCGCGCGCCAGTATCGTTTGACAGGGTTGATCAAGAAAATCTACGCGGCGATGGTCTTGGGCCTACGAGGCGTCGGTGGTAGGTGCAGACCAAGTGGAGCCAGCATGGGGGGTCTAGACAACGGCGGATTTTTCTCCAGAACAAAGACTGATCATATCGGTTGTTTACTGGCAGTGATCCAGGCACACAAAGAAGGCCGGGATAAATTATATTGTGTGGTGCGGGATATTGGCACTGATGGTGATAATAGATGAAAGCAAAGCTCTGAGGTGTTCTTGGTTCTTGACCCTGACTGGAGCTGGGGAAACCACGGCCGCCAGCGTTTCAAGCTGATGAGGACTAAGGTATATGGTTGCCTGAACCGTGAACACACTTTCACTGTGCGCCATCGACTAGGAGATGATCGTCTTCGGTTCTTATCGGCTAGCTTTCAGAGCTCGGAGAGCTACAGTCCTGTCCAGTCACACCATTTCAGTAGTTAACTCCGGTTGAGCTCCCCCTCATTCGTAAGCTGGACTCTATTTCTACTGTTGATACTTGGAGTGCCGTGATCACATCTTGGCCATAAGTACGGAGTATCTACTACCCCTGATGAAGTACTCCGTACCATGAGCAGCCCAGTCACTGGAGACTCCACGGACCGCGGCCGGCAATCCAACACACCGGAATAGGCGGCATTTAGCGAGAGCACAAGGAACACACCACTGATCCTAATCGGGACATCCAGACTCCAGAACATTCCGGCTTTCCGGGCCCGTCTAGACTACTACATCCAGCCTACGGAGCACCGAGTCCCTGATTGTGATCATCGCGGCTTTAATCTAAGTGTTACGATCCCTTCGAGGACAGCTCACAGACCGCCATCCACCACTCAGTATGGGCAATGAGATAAAGCCTTAATATCGGCTCGTGTTGCTCTGCCGTGTGGGCTTAGGGTCTCGAAGCGTCGCCAATAAGCCGTACATGCATAGTAAATGTCTATCTATCTAGATACTTTCTGTGTATTCGGCGGTATACCCAGCAAAGTCCGGGTCCTGCAGCCACCCGCACCAAAGGGTCCTCGTCCAGCGACGTCCATGGATGCTTCCCGTCCGCAACCCCACCTCTTCTTCTGTCGGCCTCTGACGTGACCACTGATCAGGCTTGGGCATCATTATCATTATCATCATCGTCATCGTTCTTGATGTTACCATACACATACTCTGCTCTATGAGTTGTCACACTGACCACGCCAGATTGACTCATCAACTTCCAGAATGACGAGCCCCGCCTTTCATGCCCTGCGCGAAAAGTATGCTGCGGGCCTCAGACTCTTCATTGCATCAACCCGCAGTCTGGAGGTTCTGGCCTCTGTCCCCTCTGGGCCCCCCGATCCCACCTCGTCCACGGACGTTCTGTACGTCCTCGATTCGTCCTTCAACCCGCCAACCCTTGCCCACAGCCGAATCGCGACCTCCGCTCTTCTAGAAAATCCCCACAAGCCCTCCCGTCTCCTATTGCTCCTCGCGACGCAGAATGCCGACAAGCCATCCAAGCCGGCTGCGTTCGAGACCCGTCTGGCCATGATGGAACTCTTCGCTCGAGACCTTCTCTCGTCATTACAAACAAACGGGACTATTCCCAAGGCCCATAATCTTCCCGTGATCGACATTGGAGTTACCAAGAAACCATACTTTGTGGACAAAGCCGCGGAAATTGAACGCGCGGGTATATACCCCCAGTCACTGGAGCAGGTGCATCTGACGGGCTATGATACGTTGATCCGCATCTTTAACCCGAAGTACTACCCGCCAGAGCATACTCTCCAGCCGTTGGGACCATTTCTTTCCCAGCACCGGCTGCGAGTGACCATGCGTCCGGATAGCGACTGGGGCAGTAGAGAGGAGCAGGAAGCATTTGTGGCTGATTTGGCACAGGGTGCCATGGAGAGGGTGGGCGGGAAACGAGAATGGGCTGATCGCATCAAGCTTGTCGAAGGCAAGAAGCCTGGTGCGCCGTCCGTGAGCTCGACAAGGGCCCGAGAATCTGCTGTAGCCAATCCTCAGGACCTGGAGTGGTTGGTTCCTCCCAGTGTTCGGGATGTCATCTTGGCAGAAAAGCCATACACGGAGTGATTGCAGTGCGAAAGTACTTCAGAGCTATCGTGGACGAATGCTGCGTCGCATGTTGTGCGATGCGCAGAGCAGGTTTGGAAACCCCTCGCTCAAGATCTAGATATATATAACCTACACATAGAATACTCATGTAGAAGGACACATTCGTCAAGGACTTAAAACTCGACTATTGTCACCTAATTGAATAATAAAATCGAAGGAGAACCAAAACACCATACCCAAAGCGACGCCTGTTCCCCGTTCAACTCATATCATACATGACCCCGCATATAAATAGCACTGTTCTGCAGCGTCATACGAGATGCTTTCTCCAAATCAAACCATAACTTTTATATCTCCCCCGTTCATTCCTCCTCATCCTCCCTCTTTCCAAGGGTGTACGCCAGCCCACCACTAACCATGTTAACCAAGCACAGACCCATTGTCGCACCGCGGATAATTCCCCTCGCGCCCCATTTCTTCATGAACGGCTGCTTCCGACGACCCGCGAGCAACAGGTACAGCCCGGACCACGCAGCGCTGATACCGGCTGTATCAGTCTTGAAGCCTTGGATGTTGGCGTAGCTGGTGAATATAAGGACGGGAGGAAAAAGCATGGGAAGTGCCTGGAACGGTCGCATGTATTGTGCGGTGATAAGAGTGGCGAGCAGGGTGGGTGGGAATGAGTTCTCTGTTGTGCGGATGGTTGAGTGATTAGTGACATTGTTGGAGTCGGAATGTTTGAGGTTCAAACGGAGGTATATGCTTACCTCCCCATGCTCTGGCTTTCTGCACGAGAGACTTTTCGGTCTCTTCTATCGGGGATTTCGAACCGGACATGGTTGCGAAGGGAGTGGTAATCTATGGGATTTTTGCTGTCATGGAGGTAGAGTTAGTGAGCGATTTAAAGATGACTGGATTGTAGCACTTGAAGAAATAAAATAGAATGGATATGCAATTGCAGAAATAGTAACTAACCTGTGCGTATGCTGGCAGTCAAGCAGACAATCCGACGTAGCTAGTGACGCGGGAAATGTGACTGGCAGCTCCGACGTACCTTTCCAAACCGACTGAGTGACTGACTAACCTCGAACCAACGGCTCACTCTCACTCACTCGGCTTAGCGTCAACATCTGATCCTCCAGAAACTCACCACGTTTTATCAAATTCACCCCATACTATCTATTATTCCCCAGATCGAGGGTTGGCCCGCAGCAGCCCAGAACCAACCAATCCTTTACCACTTGGTCTCCCTTTTCCGGTCGCTGATCTCACTCGAGTCGATTGCGAAACCCGGGGCCCTCCCCTCTCTAATCAGCGATTCTCTTTGCATCCGTCGGCTGCTTCATCGCTGATCCACCCTTCCCTCTCCCGACGAGCCTGTTTAGGCTTTCAACCCCTCGCAAACCGGGATTCAAATCCGAAGAGTGGGATATTCAACAGCCGGCTGGCTACACGCAGAGGAGACTCGTTTCATCAATAAAAGGGAAATAAAAGCTCTGCAGCCATGCCGTCCGCCACCGCGTCCGGGGTAGACAATGGAGGCTCTGCCAAATCCCGCGAGCACAACCAGGGGAATCAGGATCGGAAATACACACCAGAGCAGAAGGCGGCTGTGCTGAGGATACGGAAATGTTCGGCAACGGCGTACTACGAGATCCTGTCATTGGAGAAGAGCGCCTCCGACGGCGAGATCAAGAAGGCGTATCGCAAACTGAGTCTGATGACACACCCTGATAAGAACGGGTATGAGGGAGCGGATGAGGCGTTTAAGTGTGAGTAGTGATTGGGATATTACTCTGATGATTGTGTGCGAATTATATTTCTAATGGTCATTCTGGAAAATCAGTGGTTTCGCGCGCCTTTCAGGTCTTATCAGACCCCGAGAAGAAAGCCAAGTATGATAGGTTTGGAGGCGATCCGGACAGCAGGTTCACCCCGAGTGCTGGTCCCTCGGGCGCTTCGCCTTTTGGCGGCTTTGGCGGCGGTGGATTCCCCCGGTCTGCGGGTGCTGGGGGTCCGATGTTCGAGGAGGAGATCTCGCCGGAAGAACTGTTCCAGCGGTTCTTTAGCGGTGGGTTTGGCAATATGGGTGGTGGTTTCAGTCCTTTTGGTATGGCTTCTTCTTGTCGGTGCGAGGGACTTGGCTAATCAGTGTGTCTAGGTGGACCCCAGTTTGTTTTCAACATGGGCGGCGGTCCTGGTATCCGGGTTCATCAGTTTGGAGGTGCTCGCCCCCGGAGAAGGCCCCGTGAGGCCAATGCTCGTACCGAACCTACACCCTCTTTGTGGGCTACCTTCCAGCAGCTTCTCCCTCTTATTCTCCTCTTCGTGCTTCCGTGGATCTCGTCGCGATTCTCCGGTTCTTCGACTCCGGCAGGCCCTTCGTACCGTTTTGACGCTGCCGTGCCTCCCCACACAATGCATCGCACGACACCCAAGTTGAACGTGGACTATTATGTAAATCCCGGGGATGTGGAAGACTACAGCTCGCGGAAATTCCGGCAATTGGACCAGCGCGTGGAGGTGGACTACGTTACGAAACTACGGTACGAATGCGAAGCCGAACAACATAGGCGCGATCGCATGCTCCAGGACGCCCAGGGCTGGTTCTTCCCGGACGTAGACAAGATCAAGGAAGCGAGAGCAATGGAGCTTAAGAGTTGTCGGCGACTAGACTCCCTCAAGGGGAGGTACTGAAAGAAAGCACGACTTTTCTCTGTGTCTTTGGCATGCGGGGTGCCATTTTTGCATCTTCCTTTTGTTTCTTTTATACCTTAATGCTTGTTACATTTTGTTCCTGATGACCCCCCGCCACTTTTGTTCCCCCATTAGATGTCCATACGTGTGCAAGGATTTTGATGGCGTTTTCACGGAGTGATGAACCTGAGCTTGGAAGTAGCTTTGTCTAGTAGCCTTGAGAAGCAAATGTATATGTTGTTGAAGAAGGAATAGATGAAAAGTGAGCAGCAGCGATCGGCAAGATAAGTCTGTAGTAAGTATGTAGTCGGTTATCTCGCAAGTGTTGGAGAACTAACCGTGGAAAGTGGAGAAAAGAACACACGATGCAAAAGAAAGGGCCCTGAGCGGCGAACCAACGCCAACCAGCTTAGTTAATAATTCATGCGGGCGAACCTCAGCGACCATGAGAGAAGCAGTCCAGGAACAGAGTCAGCGCCAGTGACTGACTTCTTTCTCCTCACTGTTTCGCTCTGGGGGTCACTATCGGGCTCATTCATCCGGGCACCCGCTACACTCTTTTCCTCCCCGCTTCTAATCCAGCCTTGATCGCCTTCCCTTCCCCCCCGTTCTCTCCATCTCACCTCCGTCTGAGTTTTCGGTTCCAGCCATCAACTCGCTCCGTTGTCGAGCCCCGCTGATACTACGGAAGCCCTTCTGCTTCGGGCTTGCCCCATCAGCATCATCCACGATGTCAGAGAGCCAGTCTGAAGCGGACAAGGTGAGTTGTCGCTATCTCTCCCGGTCCCGGCCCGTGTTTTCTCGTCTCCTGCCATCCAGGCATTCCCCGTCCTGACTTGCCTCATAATCAGATCCGCAGCAAGCGCTTGGCCAAGTTGGGCAACCCAACCCCGTCGGCGCAGAATGAAGGCGCCGCAGATTCAGCATCAAGCAGGCCTGCCTCCCCTGCCCCATCTACACCATCCTCACGATACCCGGACAGGATCCAGACACAATCCTCGTCGAGACCGGGCAGCGCGCCCGGTTCATCAGCCCCCTCACCACAACTCCAGCCCCAACAGTCCGAATGGAAGCGGATCAAGATCACACCTGCAGCCTCTGCCAGTTCGGTCCCGGACCGCTCACAGACCGTAACGCCGGTGTCCGGCACACCACCACCCCCGAAAGCGGAAGAGAGCATTGAGGCATTTCAGGATCGGACGCTGAGCGCTGTCTTCAAGCTGTCGTTGAATGAGGCTCGGCAGAAGGATATTCACGGACAACGATTGACATATTTGCCGGGTCTGAAGAGTGAGCTTGAGGATCAAGGCCGGGAGGTTCGTGTGGATGTGACGGTCTTGGACCAGGCCCTTCTGGAAGCGGCCTCCAATGCTCCGCGGCAGAAGCCCTTGGATTATCTACTACCGTGCTGGAGGCGGATTTCTAGGTTGCACAAGGGTTTCCGCCGCAATCGCGATGATGATCCGAAATTCAGTGCTATCTGCGAGGCGCGCCGCATATGCCTGAGTTATTGTATATTTGCCATTACGATGCCGGAGATGTTTGGGTGCGTGTTGCGGTGAAAGTGATACCTTGGCTTCAGAACTCGGCTGACTCGTGATTAAACAGGCTCGAGCCGGCGGAGAAGTCACCGCTAAAACCATATCTCCTCTTGGATCCTGAGGATGACAAGGGCGTGGACTTTGAGTTCATCGGCGAGGCCGTCAAGAGGTTCGACGAGGATGAGAGCCTTAAGCCGGCTTTCATCACAGCTGTGGAGGAGATGAGCCAGGAGCTTGCTGCTATGACCATCAATGATGACTACAAGCCATATATGACAGTACGTGAAGGCCACTCTCTTTTTCTCAAGGAGCGCTCGTCAACCTGATTTGTAGGCTCTTCGAAATCTCGTCCGCCATGCGGTCATTGCAGCTGCCATTACCGAGTCGGAAATTTTCAACGCATCCCGGGATCCGGCTTCGTTTGAGAAGAGCACTCTCTTGGGGCCATGGTTTCGCTTGTCGCCGCTGCAGAGCAGTGTGACCATGACTTACTTCTCCAGCCCTAAGACGAGAGATCAATCCTACATTTTGAACGCGCAGCGGTCGATCCGCATGATGCAGCACATGATCAGCTCTGATCTCCTCGATGTCATGAACCACATGATTCGGGCGTCGAAAGATGCCAGGGACAGGGTTCTAGACTGGTTCGCGGCCTCCCTGAACATCAACCACAAGAGACGGGCAATGCAGGTGGATCCCAACACGGTGTCATCCGACGGGTTCATGTTCAATTTGACCACCTGCCTGGACCAACTTTGCGAACCGTTCATGGATGCAAGCTTCACCAAGGTAAGCATGCTACGTCATAGTTGGCAGCAGGAGTGCTTGCAGCTAACGGCTGTGTTCTAGATTGACCGAGTCGATGCCAATTATCTCCATCGTAACCCGCGAGTTGATATGAGGGATGAGACCAAGATCAATGCCGATCAGCATGCGTCAGATGCCTTTTACTCCAAGAAGGCGGAAGGCACTTCCAACTTTATCACTGAGATCTTCTTCCTCACCGTTGCTGCGCATCACTATGGTAGTGAATCCTTAACCTCCAAGCTGGAGCAGCTTGAGAAGGACCTCCGACATATGGAGTCCACCATCAATAAGTTTGAGTTGGAACGGCACCGGTGGGTCAACAACCCGATGCAGCTCCGGGTTTTCGAGGAGGCTTTGAAGAAGTACAAGGATAAGCTGGATCTCGGCCTGGCCTTGAAGTTCAGTTTGCAGGGTGTCTTGTTTGACGACCAGTGGCAAGCCCGGTCGATGCTGTTCATGCGGTACGTTATTGTGTGGCTGCTGAGAGTTGTTTCGGGCACGAACTTTCCTAAGGAGGAGATCAAGCTCCCTCTTCCAGTGCAGCAGCCGGAGGTCTTCAAATGCCTTCCCGAGTATTTCCTGGACGACATTGTCAGCAATTTCAAATTCATCATGTGGTGCATGCCACAGATCATTACTGCCACGCAGGGAGACGAGCTGGTCATGCTGTGCATCACTTTCTTGGAGAGCTCGGGCTATATCAAGAACCCGTACCTGAAGGCAGGACTTGTGTCTATTCTGTTCCGAGGCACGTGGCCACGCCCTGGTGGCGCTCGCGGAGTCCTGGTGGATCTGCTCAATTCGATGCCGTTTGCCAACGAGTACCTCCTCCACTCGATGATGAAGTTCTATATTGAAGCGGAGCACACGGGCACGCACACGCAATTCTTCGACAAGTTTAACATTCGGTTTGAAATCTTCCAGATCATCAAGTGCATCTGGCCGAATACGCTCTACCGCAACAAGCTCTACAACCAGTCCAAGCAGAACCTGGACTTCTTCGTCCGCTTCGTCAACTTGCTTCTCAACGATGTAACATTCGTGCTGGACGAGTCCTTCGGAGCATTCATCACCATCCATAAGACCCAGACAGAGCTGCGCCTCAACGGTGCCTCAATGGACCCGACTGTGCGTCAGCAGAAAGAGGAGCACCTCGCCTCGGCTCAGCGCAATGCCAAGTCGTACATGCAGCTGACCAACGAGACGGTGGCTATGCTCAAGTTGTTCACAGACGCGCTGGCGGACTCGTTCACGATGCCCGAGATCGTGCAGCGATTGGCGGACATGTTGGACTACAACCTGGATGCGATGGTGGGACCCAAGAGCGCCAGTCTACGGGTGGACAACTTGCAGGAGTACGGCTTCAACCCGCGGGCGCTGCTGAGCGAGATTGTGGACGTGTACTTGAATTTGATGGGCAAGGAGAACTTCATCATCGCGGTGGCCCGCGATGGACGGTCATACAAGCCGGCGAACTTTGAGAAGGCAGCAGATATCCTACGGAAATGGTCGCTCAAGTCGCCAGAGGAGTTCAGGCGGTGGGAGCAATTACAGAAGAAGGTGAAAGCGGCCAAGGAGGCCGATGACCAGGCCGAGGAGGATCTGGGCGAGGTTCCGGATGACTTCTTAGGTATGTTATATCCTTCAGCACTTGACGAAGAAGTTGCTAACAATGTACCAGATCCCCTGATGTACACATTGATGGAAGACCCGGTTATCCTACCAGGATCCCGGGTATCTATTGACCGAGCAACGATCCGGTCGCATCTGCTCAGCGACCCTCATGATCCGTTCAACCGGGCACCGCTAAAGATGGAAGACGTAATACCTGGTAGGTCTCATAGCATGAACTGGTGATGAACGGATGTGTACTAACTGTTGCATAGATACCGAGCTTAAGGCAAAGATTGAGTCATTTAAGTCTGAGCGACTGGCTGAGCGGAGGCGCGTGTTGGAGCCGATGGATACGACGAACTGATGGGATGCAAAAGTGAGCGACAAGTGTGGTTCTGTCTGTTTTGGAATCCGCATCTTTGTTGGGATGTCTTCTTTCGGCGAGTTTGGGTTAGACTTGCATAGGGAGGTAATGCCAGGATGCAATGACGATATTATTATCTCGTAGGAATTTTATCAATAGTCAACATGATTAAGATTCACTCTTGACTTGGATCCCCTGTAGATGCTGACTCATCCGATCTGACTTCACTTCACCTCATCCATTGATGTAGCATTACTTCAATTTCCCATATTTCTATCTACACCATCCAACTGCCTCACCATCATAACATACAAAAAATACAATGGGCTCCGCCCTCTCCATCCTCAACCACTTCCCCCCTTGGGAACACCTCATCCACCCAACGCCACAAACCTACACTCTGTTCCTCAACATCTTCCAATACTTTCCACTCGTACGTCTACACCCACCCACATAAATCACATCACACCTCACCACCCCCAATCCCACTCATCGAAGTACTATACTAATCAAAGAAAACCCAGGTATCATTAATCCAATGGCTAACCTCCTACCACCCAGCGGGCAAAACCTCCCTCAAGCAATCCCCCCTAAACCTCCCCGGCCGCTGGGCCTGGTGCATCATGGAGATAGTCTCCCCCATGACTCTGCTCTACTTACTCTACACCTTACCCCAGCAATACCCTTCCTCAACCTTCCCCACTGGCATTCCCACAAGTAACAAATTCCTCGCTTTCCTATTCACCCTCCACTACACTAACCGCGCCATCATCTCCCCGTTCTTCGCTGCCCCCAGCATCTCCCCTATTCATGTACTCATTGCGTCCTCGGCGGTGGCATTTAATTGGTTAAATGCCGTTTGTATGGCCGGGTGGTTGGTTGGGTATCCTTTACCTTCACCACCCTCATCTTATTCTTCTGCTGCTGCTGCTGCTGCTGCCAGCGGTAGTACTACAGGAAGGACATGGCTAGCTCCGCTAGGCCTCACCCTCTTCCTAGGCGGAATGGCAGGGAATATCTCTGCCGAGCGGACATTGTTCAGGTTACGGCGGGAAGAGGCGCATCGAAAGAAGAAAGATGACTCTACTTCTACTATCAAAGACACCACCACCACCACCACCACCACCAAAGATGATCCTAAGGAGAAAGGGGATAACAAGAAGAACATCTACTCCAAAATATACACCATCCCGCCTCCCACCGGCCTCTTCACTTCCATTCTCTACCCGCATTACGTAGCAGAGTGGATTGAATGGTTGGGGTTTGCTATCTTGGCTGCTGGTATAGTTACCACCCATTCTGCTTCACCTTCAATTGATGTTGGTGGTGGTTTTCATCTAGCGCCGTGGCTTTTACCCGCTGCTAAGCTAGCCAACTGGATGGGTGTACCGATGCCAGTGCCCGCGGTGGTGTTTTTGGTTAATGCGGTGTCGAATATGTTGCCGCATGCGAGGTGGGGGAGGAAGTGGTATGTGGAGAGGTTTGGGGAGGGGAGGGTTAAGGGACGGGGGGCGGTGGTGCCGTTTTTTAGGTGGTTGTAATCGATTTTCTGTATGTTATTGCTGGGGCATATGGGATAAATGAGGTGTATGAATGGGTGGTATTTGGGAAATGGTGGTGTCGATTGAAAGTGATGGGTTGTGTATAGTTAGGTGCCGGGAGTATGTATGATAGGTTGTGGTTGTGTATAGCATCATCATATTTCTCAGTTGGGTAATATTCAAAAGGGAACAACAATCTCCCCAAGAGGTCGTAGGATAAGCTCGGGCTGAAAGAGCTACATCCAACTACAAACGCTACTTTCTACAACTTAAACAGATATGGATGAATGAAGAAGTATCAAGAAGCTCGAATGTAATCATTCGAGAATTGTCATTAAGGGCAGTACAGTAGCGACCCTTTTTTTGTGATATACACAATCATTGTTGAAATATTATTGATCTCGGCGTTGCAGACGTCACCGACGTTCCCGCATTCCGCCCCCATAACTCGCAAAATGCAAGAGAAAACTTGGCGTCGATGTTATATGCGAACGCCGATGTTGAAATCGTTATCATATGTTGAAAACTCCGGTGACCCCATCTAATGAAACCCTAACCCATATGTTGAACTTTTGGTATCATCATCGTAAACTCATCAAAAAAACTTGGGAAGGGAACTGCTAGAGTCCGCTTCCCCGAGACGACAGGTTGAGAATGTCGCCCCCAATCATGGGTTATTAAAAAATGTAATGATTAAAGAAAATTTAGTTTCCGTGCTTCTGACGGAAGAACTTGGCAGCGTTGACCATGTTGGTCAGGGCAGCCTTGGTCTCGGGCCACTGACGGGTCTTCAGACCACAGTCGGGGTTGATCCAAAGCTGCTCAGGGCGGAGGTACTGAAGCATCTCCTCGACGCGGTCCTTGATCTCCTGCTCGCTGGGAACACGGGGAGAGTGGATGTCGTAGACACCAGGTCCAATGTGACGGGGGTAGGCCTCGTCGATGAAGACCTTGAGCAGCTTGGCATCCGACTTGCTGTTCTCAATGCTCAGAACATCGGCATCCAGCGCAGCGATGGCGTGGAAGAAGTCCTGGAACTCAGAGTAACAGAAGTGAGAGTGGATCTGAGTACCGTCGGTGACACCAGAGGTGGCCAGGCGGAAGGCACGGACGGCCCACTTGAGGTACTCCTCACGCTCCTTGCCAGCACGGAGGGGGAGACCCTCACGAAGAGCGGGCTCGTCGACCTGGATGACCTTGATGCCAGCAGCCTCGAGGTCAACAACCTCGTCACGCAGAGCGAGAGCGAGCTGCTGAGCCTGGACGGACTGGTGGACATCATCACGAGGGAAAGACCAGCGCAAGCAGGTGATGGGGCCGGTAAGCATACCCTTCATGGGCTTCTTGGAGATCGAGACAGCGTACTTGGACTCCTTGACGGTCATGGGAGCGGGACGAGAGATGTCACCGACAATGATCGGGGGACGCACGCAACGGGAGCCGTAAGACTGGACCCAGGCGTGGGTGGTGAAGACGTAACCAGTGAGGCGCTCACCGAAGTACTGGACCATGTCGTTACGCTCGGGCTCACCGTGGACGAGAACATCCAGGTCGAGCTCCTCCTGGATCTTGACGACCTCCTCAATCTCCTTCTCGATGAACTTCTCGTACTCCTGAGCAGTGATCTCACCCTTGGTGAACTTGTTGCGCTGGATACGGATCTCCTTGGTCTGGGGGAAGGATCCGATGGTGGTGGTGGGGAAGAGAGGAAGGTTGATGGACTTGCTCTGCTCGGCAATACGGGCGGAGAAAGGAGAGTTGCGGTTGTGCTGCTCCTCAGTGACGGCAGCCTGGCGCTCCTTGACCTTGGGGTCGTTGGTGCGCTTGGAGGAAGCACGAGCCTGGACAGACTTGGCGTTGACCTCGAGCTGCTCACGGACAGCAGCGGGTCCCTCAGTGACGGCCTTGGCAATCACAACAACTTCGTCAAGCTTCTGCACAGCAAAGCTGAACCAGTCGCGGACCTCAGGGTCCAGAGTCTTCTCGCTCTCGAGAGTGTGGGGAACGTGGAGGAGGGAGCTGGAGGTGGCAACGACGACACGCTCCTTGCCGAGCTTCTGGATGGCCAGCTCGACCTTCTCGATGGCAGCCTTGAGGTTGGTCTTCCAGATGTTACGACCGTCAACAACACCAGCAGACAGAATCTGCTGAGGGCCAAGGGCAGCAACAACAGCGTCGAGCTGCTCAGGGTTGCGGACGAGGTCAATGTGGATACCGTGGAGGCTCTGAAGGGCGGGGAAGACATCAAGGTTGTGGACAATGTCACCGAAGTAGGTGGCAAGGACCAGACGGGGAGCCTGGGCACCAAGGGCACCGAGCTTCTCGTAGGCAGGCTTGAAAGCAGCCTTGGACTTGGCGGGGAGGTCGAAGACGAGGACGGGCTCATCGATCTGAACCTCCTCGGCACCAGCCTCCTTGAGCTTCTGGAGCAGCTCAACGTAGACGGGGAGGAGCTCCTCAATCTTGGTGATGGGGTCCACGGACTGACCACGGTCAGCCTTGGCGAGGGTCAGGAAGGAGACAGGTCCCAGGATGACGGGGCGAGTGACAACGCCAGCCTCCTTGGCCTCGAGGAACTGAACGACAGGCTTGGGCTGCTCAGCCAGCTTGAAGGTCTGGTTGTCCTGGAGGGTGGGCTTGACGTAGTGGTAGTTGGAGTCAAACCACTTCACCATCTCCAGACTGGGGACATCAATGGCGGCCTGACCATCCTTGGCGGGCTTCTGAAGACCACGACCCATGGCGAAGTACTCGTCAAGGGGGTGCAGGTTGTACTTGCTGTAGCGCTCGGGGATGACCTATTGAAGATAGCATTAGCGAATGAATCAGATACATCAAGAGCGAGGATACATACACCGAAGAGCTGGATGTGGTCGAGGACCTGGTCGTAGAAGGCAAAGTCGTTGCTGGGGATAACATCAACGCCAGCATCCTTCTGGAGCTTCCAGTGCTCCAGACGGAGTCTCTTTCCCTCAGCCAAGAGCTCATCGCGAGAGATCTTGTCACCCCAGTAAGCCTCGGTGGCCTTCTTGAGGTCACGGAGCTTTCCCATACGAGGGAAACCCAAGACGGAGCTGCAGGAGATGCCATTAGCATTGGCCTTTCTTTTGCCAACAGACAGATAGACAGATGGTGAAAACTTACGATTGAACCATCTTGAAAGATATGTGTGTAGAAGTGAGGGAGAAAAAGAGTAGAGTTTAGTGGAGGGAAAATAGATGAAGAATTGGATAAAAAAAGAAGACAGAGAAGACAGTCAAGGACTATACAATAGTCTCTTGCTGAGAAAAAGGATGATGAGAGAAACAGGGGGGAGGGATGGAGAGAGAAAGAAGAGAAGAAAGAGAGGGAAGAAGAGGATGGAGGGGAGTTATTATAAGCAGACGGAGGAGGGGAGGGAGTGGGGCGAGGGGTTTGGGTTGATACCAAAAATACCACGGATACCAGACCAGTACCTGGAAACCTAACCGTGTTCCAGACTCCAGATCAGGCATACTTACATGTGCCTGTTTGGTAAGGTAAGATAGTCCCGCCTCTCAAGTGTATGTATACTGTAAGGAATGGAGAGGAGAGTTTTCGCCATTCTGTGACAATCTGCACTCATTCTGTGCGTGTCGCTCTCCTCTCCAATGCCTCCCCTCCCTCCTTCTCCAGCTATCTACACATGAGCCCCTTTCCCAGTTACCACTAAGTTCCTGACCCTCCGGACCCAAGCAAGACCAACGTCCTCCGGTTTTAGAGGTATGTGTCATCCTTGAAAAATTTAGTAACCAGTCCATTGGGAGGGGCCAGAACTAAACCCATCCCGAACATAGTGCTAAATGGCGTGATTAAATTCTGGATAAACGGGCCAGTCAGCGCCGTGGAAAAGTCCGGAGTATCCCTCGGACCACCTCTGCCTGCCTTCCGGGATCGGCCCCCATTAAGGTTCTGGCTGGTGGGTTGCCAGGCTGATACGAGCTGGTTAGCCACGCCCATTACCTACGCAGTTCCAAGTCTTCTACTGCTGCCCATACAGTCGAGACTGGCTTCTGCCCACGATGGAGCCGATTCGGACCTGCAAAATGGATCTGCGCTGAGACCCATTGGCCGCATCGGCTGACTTCCAGCGTTGCTGCACGAGGTGGCCACTAGGCCTATCAGCGTGGGCAATTACCCAAATCTGAGGTGAGATCCACCCATTCGCCGCTAGAGCTTGCCATAGTCCATGGGTCAAGATACGCAGTACGCAGCTAGAAGCTGACCTTACCGTCTACTAACTAGTTAGTCGATGGCTGTCGATAAATTGATTCATCTTTGATGGAAGGAGCCAGAATCACCCTTCCTCGCCCGAAACTCGGGATCCGTCTCACTTCACCGAGTACTACGATAGTATTCTACTAGTGACTCACTCGAAAGACAGCTCGGACTTTGTGTCGAGTCACAATGCTTGGGAGCGTGTTACCAGTTCTTGTTCTGAAGTACTAACTCGGCTTTTGAACATGATGTTCGGAAAACCTTTCGGGATGCGGAGTATCTTGCGTGCAGGTCCGGGGAAGCTCATCTCATCTGGCCGACGAACGGTCACCGCAGAGCATGCTATAGATACAGTTCCAATGCCCCCGTAGATCCAATGGCAACCACGATGCTCGCCCAGAGATCAATGTTCTGGTTGAAAACCCTAAAGCTTTATTGATGACGCAGCTGCTCCTTTCAGTGCAGTCGCAGCTTCCATTCCTGTATGTTGCATAAGCTCGAAGAAGGCAGTTGCACAAACATGCTCCGTCTGGACGGACTGCCCACCATAATGAATACAACAAATCTGTCCATTTATTTACTACGGCGTTATCGCTCACCTTGAGGCAATACTCCTGCCTCGATGGCGTTCTTCCTCATCTGTCCCCGTTTCAGAAAATACTGGAAAGGCTCAGACTCGAAAACAAGGCACTCTTACAAGTTAGATCCGGCTAAACCGTCACCAGATGGCGATTCAGATGGTAGGCCGCTCGAGTCCGCGCTCGACTGACAGCGGTTTTGCTGACCTTGCTAGGGCATTTCAAAGACAGAGAAGATGTCACACGCCCTGGTCATCCCAGACGCTCCTCCGGTGGCTTGCCCGATAGACTTCGTAGACGTTTCTCCCGAGAAGCCAGAGACCAGCGTGTAAAGCCAAGGAATGATCGCAGAAAGTCTGGCTCCCCTGCCTTTCCATTCTCTTCTAGATTTGCCAGTCCTAGGGAAAGAGTAGCCACTCCAGATGAGATTGGGAGCAGCTTCATGAGTGAAAGAGGATATGACAGCGACGCGCAGTTTATAAGCACTCCCAAGCAGGTTAGCCATACCAGAGACCATCCTTCTAATCCACGCATTCTTGAGGATGCTGCTGTCTCTCCTTTGAGGCGCGAGATGGCCCAGGGAATGCCATATGTGCAAGCCCATGGTCAAGACCTCGAAGACCTGGAGAGTGCACCATGTGCGAATCCTACTCTAAGGGAAGAATCGCAATCTGCTCTCCGTTCGAAAAGCCAGGCGTCTTGCATGACCCAATCTTCCCAGGTCTCCTCCATCTTCCGTGGCACAGATGATGGGAGCCGTCGAGTCAGGGTTGCAAGGCCTCAAAGAGGCATGGCGGGCAGTCCAGTTCAAGGCAAGATAAGAAATGGACTTGCCTATCCAAAACAACCAGGATACCGGCCTCCCCTTCGAGCGGCTTCGCCTGATCCTGGTATACATGGCTCGGGTTATTCGAGTCCAGTATCTCCGGTGCCATTCTCGTATACCACTTCTGCCGACTCTCTGGTTGGGCCATCGCAGATCTCGGTCAGGAAACGACGCCGGCAACCCCCCGTGGGCCCTATACCAGACAAATGCTCTGTTCATCTCGGTGACTCAAATATCCCGACGACCTTGGCGGCCCGCTCAACGTCTCCTCATATGCTATCTCCGAAACAATCATTCGATGAAAACCGGTGGGCCAGCAATACCGGGACGTGGAACGCACCCCAGCCCTTTCACGACTTCTCTGGGTTTGGAGCAGGAAAAGCACCAGATACTTACGCAACAGGGCCAAGACCTAGAGGTCCGGTGAACCAGGCGTCCTCGTGCTATTCTCAGAAGACCAGCCTGTCACCTACAGGTGATCCGGTCGGCTCTCTAGATAGACGGATCCAGGATCGGGCTATCACTATACAACCTCAAGAACCCAATGCTTCTTTTAGTTGTTCCCCTCGATCATTGGAGTTGTCCCGGGTGAATTCTCATTATGCTCCCATTGCAGACCATGATGCGGATAAAGCTGAAGCACAGAAAAGCAGATTTGCCGAGAGATTCGAGTCAGCCCGGTCACTCAGCTCTCCTGCACATGGCCATAACGACGCGGATGCGGACCTTGCATCGCCTCGCAAGGTGAGCGTTGGATGGATGTCGGGAGGCCGGCGACTCGGTTACGGATACGCTCTGGTTCCTGCAAATGACGGAGCCGATGAACCTCCAAAATTTCTCAATCACATTGGTTCCAGTGTTCCAGAAGCGACAGCTGTAGGTGTGAATCTTCGAAGTGGATTATCAAGGTCCTTTGAGAAGGAGACTATAGGACACAACAAAAAAGTCCCCTAGAGCCGGTAATCCCAGCTTCGAGCTATCGAGCGTTGTGAGTCGCATACGTCTTCGCAGCTTCTCTAGCGCGTTTAACGAAGGCTTGGGTGAACAGCTCAAATCCTCAGTGCTAGAGAAATTCTCCAAGCGAAAGAAGGAGCAGGTCGATCCGGTTGCAGACAATATTGCTCAGAATCCCTGGGACTTTTGCTCTTGGGTAGACCCAAACCAGCCTTCGAGCGATCAACAGAGTGGACAGAAAAGCTCGTCAGTCTCGACCAAAAGTACCGAGGGGCGGCCTTTGGGTAGATGGGCGACGTTGCGTCGTACAGGGACTTTGTTGACCAAGGGCCGCAGCGTGTCGGCGATTACGCGCGGACTTGAAGCCAACTTGACTGCGAGGATGACCAGTCCAGCCGGGCGATACCCTGTGGCACGAAGAAAGGAGGGCCGCGTCCTCAAGTTCAAGGTCCTCGACCGTAAAAATAGGGCTAATAGTGCCGATGATGACGTGCCTATTGTCTCCGCCGAAAACTTGCATGGGACAGCCGGCTCAGATGGTTTTCAGAACAAGGGGCAGGAACACGACCAACAGACTGTTCAGACAGGCACTCACAGGACGAAAAGGGAGCGGCATAATTCTTCTGACAAGACCGGTTCGGGGTCGATCACAGATTATTGGAAAAGCACCTACCAGGACTGCCAAGAAATGCTTGGGTACTAGGCCTGTGCTTTGGTCGTTTATATATCTTTGATGCCGTCGGAGTACACTCAGCATTGGCAATCTCCTACAACTACAACGCCATTAATGTAACATAACCTGATGCATCAGGCTGCTTCTTCACTTCTGGGAATCCAACTTTTACTACTGAACAGTCAACATGCCGACGATTATATCGGTAACCGACTATCGTCCCCGGGATTAAGGACCACTGTACCAACCAAAGGATGGGAAAACATTAATGTTGAATGTATTACATCGGTAAAGTAAATGCATTAAAGCCAGTGATTATCAAGGCCAAAGCTTCATGTAGTCGTACATAGGTATATCTAAACACCAAGAACGCCGCCCATTCTCCAACGCCCATAACATCAATCCTCTTTTACTTCCTTTGCCGCTTCGTACTCTTATCACTAGCATTGCTCAGAACACTAGCAGAGCGTTTATGCGAAGTCACATCTCCCTCTTCACCAGCAGCACCACCTTCTGCCTTCTCTCCCGATTTATCTGTTGCACCCTTCTCCTGCCCCTCCGCATCCCCAGCACCCGCAGCCTCCTCCTCCTCCTCCGCCGCCGCCGCAGGAAGTGGCTGATCCTCCTGCTGCTCCGATTTGACCTCAGGCTTACTATCCTTCTCTAGCGCCTCCTTCGCCTTCTTCTCACGTTCCTCCTTCGCAGCCTCCAAAACCCGAATCTCACTCTCCACCTTCTCCGACACCTTCCGCGCCTCCAGCAGCAGATTCACCGAATGAATCAGCTTCTCAAAATCCTTGCAGACACGCTCCGTCGGCATGACAAGCCGCAGCGGCACCTCCAGTTCCGCCAGCGCAGCAGCGAGTTTCTGCGTCTGCACATTCGATTTCGCCTGTGTGAGCTTCTGCGCGCGGTCACTGCGGAATTGCACGCCCGGCGCCAGTCGGTCGTGGTGCTGCACGCCGTATTTGGCTTCTTCGGCGGGTGTGAGGGTCCGAACGGCTTGTTGTTGCGCTTCTTTGTTCGCTGCTGCGGCTGCGGCTGCGGCTGCCGCGGCGGCCTTTTTGTTGGTTGGGGCGGCGGCGGGCGTCGCGTTGGGGGTGTCGGCGCGGCTGTCGCGGGCGCTGCTGGGGGCGTTGGGGGCCGGGGTTGCGCCGGCGGGGCTGGGAGCGGCGCCGCCTTCGGGGCCCAGGATGGAGCGGCGTTTCTTGCTCTTGTCGGCTTGGAGGAGGGTTTGGAGGAGTTGCGAGAGGCCTTGGCTGGATTGGTACATGGTTGTGTTGCCGACGCTGATAGGGACTTCAAGGCGGGAGTAGAGTTCGCGACGTTCCGTGATGAAATCTTGCTCGTTGGCGGTGATGCGTTTGAGTTCTTCGAGGAGGACGCTTTCTTCGCGGACTTCGTCGGCTGTGCGGTTGAGTTGGAGGGCGGCGAGTTCTTTGCGGGAGCGTTCACGGTCGGCGTCGAATTTGAGCATCTTTTCGTGCAGTTCGAATTCGGCTTCCGACATCTCGGAGGGCGGGTGCTCGAGCGCGAGCATGCTCGCGGCGATGAAGTAGTAGCGCGATTTCATCTGCTCCATGGTTCGGTATTGCTTTGCGGGGACGAGGGCGCTGGCGTTGTTGCTGTCGCCATCGACGGAGTGCGGTTGATAGTCGTAGCGATCGGCGATTACGACCCAGCGGAGATCGTATTCTTCGACTAGGTCCATGAGGTAGTCGGTTTCCTGGCGCGTCCAGTCGTCGTTCTTGAGATGGCGATTGTATTCCTCGTCTGTGTAGCGGTTGGGTACGCGGGCTTTGATGTTGTATTTGGCGAATAGGGAGTCTTGCTGCGGCACGTTATCGGAGGTTGAGGCATCGGCGTTGTCCTCTTTCTCGTCCACGTCCATCTCGGAGCCCTCCAGCGCGGGGACCTTGGCGGATTCATGCTGGCGTTGCCAGTGGCGGAGAACGAGGCCATCGGAGCGGGCGCTGTTTATGAAGGGGGTCATGCGCCTGATGGAGTCAGTGTTTGATATCGGAGAGCAGTTGATATGGTGATGTGTGCGTACCATGGCTGTACGCGCTTTTTGCTCGTCCATTTCGGACGTCCCTTGTATCGGTTCTCGTTGATGGCGATCGGAGGCGCTCGTTCGCCTAGCAGAGCATAGAGCTCACGGGTGATACCCTCTAGCGATGGGAATGTGTCAGATTTAATTTTAGGTGAGTAAGGGAACTAAGAGAAGCCCACCTGGACGCTTCTCGACGACCTTCTGTTTCTTATGAGGTCGGGGCTGGCCCTCCGCGGGCAGATCCAGCATGTCGCGAACATCGGCGGCGGCCATGGCGGAGGCACCTGAGGGGGTTTCCGGGCTGAGCGATTTCCAAGTGTAACGAGACGAAATGTATTTGATATTTCGATGAAATCAACAGCAATATAGCAATGCAGCAATGAGAATGATCGAGGAGCAAGAGAGGAAGAGGGGAGGAGATGGAAGGGAAAGATGAAAGGCGGAGAAGCAAAAGCCATGAGAATTCGCGCCAAGACGGGATCCGGCCAGATCGAGGCAATCGCTTCATCGCCAACTGTTCTCATCATCTCCCTCCCTCTGCTGTCTCTTCCCCCCTCCGCCAATTTCTCCCATTCAATCGCATCATGGCTCCGGTCAGATCCTCCGCCTCATGGCTGTCCTCTGTGATGGCCGTGTGTGCCATCCTGTGTCTCTCGGTGCCCGCCAACGCCCTCTACTTCTACATGGACGGCCGCCAAACAAAGTGCTTCTTTGAGGAGCTCCCTAAAGATACCCTGGTTGTCGGTATGCTTCTCACCACCTGCTCCCCCAATTTATTTACCACTTAATTCTAATACGATGTGGGAATAATAAAGGTACCTACTCCACCGCCGTGATCAACCAGCAATCCAACACCTACAATGTGGACCCTAACCTTAAGATGCTCGTCACCGTCGACGAGATCTTCGACAACGACCACCGCGTTGTCTCCAAGCGTGACAGCCACTCCGGACGCTTTACCTTCTCCGCTGCCGACGCCGGCCTGCACAAGATCTGCGTGACCCCCGAGACCAACGCCGCAACTGGCGGTGGCTGGCTGTCGGGCGCCCCGTCCGGTGCGGTCCAGGTCACTCTGGACATGGCTATCGGTGAAACGAGCAAGATTGAGACGGAAGACAAGGACAAGATGCAGGATATTGTGCAGAAGGTGAAGGATCTGAACGGCCGGTTGCAGGATATTCGTAGGGAGCAGGTGTTCCAGCGGGTATGTTTTCCACCACGGGGATGCCATAGGCAGGATCTTTAGTGACTTGACTAACAATCTGTTTAAACAGGAACGTGAAGCTGAATTCCGTGACCAGTCCGAGGCCACCAACTCCCGCGTGGTTCGGTGGACTCTCATCCAGCTGGCTGTGCTGTCGGTGGCATGTGCTTGGCAGCTTTCGCATCTGCGGTCGTTCTTCATCAAGCAGAAGTTGACATAAACGGGGAGACTTCACTTTTCTTTTCTTTTCTTTTTTGTTCGAGATGGGAGGGAGTGCACGTTGGAGAAAATAGGCCAAATGGAATGAGTGAGAGGTACCTGGTTGTACTTACAAATAAACTACTACCTAGCTAGCTATGATCGGTTGTTTAGCGATTATTATTTCTCTATTGTGTGAGTTAGATGAGTGAATGTAAAATGCATGTATGTGGTTCTTTGATGAGGGTTTAGTGAACTCACTTGTGGTATATACTACTGAGGCAGTACGATTTCTGCTGCTACTGCTCCGAGGAAACCTTGTGATTTCTCTTTCACCTCCCCTGTCTCTACCGTTCTGCCGACATATATTTTCTGGATGCACAATATAGAGACAACCGGTAATGTAGTGCCAGGTATTTCTGCATTCGGATTTCTCACTATAGGGAATCCACGGCTGTCAAGGAGTTTCCAAGCATCACAATAGCCACAAAGGATGCGACAGTAGCTGGAAAGACTCTTGATACAACCACATCAGCTAGATGGACTAACAAGATCTACTGATTCAACATGGTACATATGTTGGTAGCGACTCTTCTAGCTCCTCGCTGGTATTAACCAAGCTCTGAGGGCTTACTATTTCATCAGTTATAGTTTCCCCCACCAGCAAAGCCATAACTGCCATACCCATAGTACCTCATGTATGCCTGATCTCTCCCCCAACTGTCACAAGCCACGCGAAAGCAACAACCGGCTCTCCTCGGTCATTGTCGAAGGCATGTTTCCAGATTGACAGTTGATATTCTTGGGAATATCGCTACTAATGACTGCTGTTGATGAACCTAACAAGCAATATACCTGGCAACCTGCATTTTTCTTCACATTTCTCCTTGTTCCAAATGATTTTATGGCTGCCCCCAAAGCCTGGGAGCAAAAGAAGACACACAGCACCAAAAACATAGAGTTTGTGATTATGCTCAATCTCCCACAGCAGTTCAAAACGATCAACCAACTCTGCCTCTTTCATGTCGCTATCCGATTTATCAAGTTGGACGAAACGTGCGCGTTTCCATCTTTGCCCCCAGTCATCATTTGATCATAAAGGATGCAGAAGGTCGCTCGTAAATACATCAGCACTAAAAAATTATTCCTCTAACATTAATGCGGCTGCTCCCTGCAGAAGAAACAGCGCCCATGCTGTGGTACCAGATCCAATCAAGATTCAATGGCAGACAACAGAAAAGAAAGACAAAATGAGGTATAAAGCGGGGGGTGGGAATCAATAACTGAAAAGACCGGAGTATGTATCTATGTCATGTATTCATCGTCGAGTCGTCGGGTTGTCTTGCGGCAGGGGTCGTGGCATCACTGCAAAACCCTAGGATCAATCGCTCGAGATCCGAGAGCTTGTACGGCTTGGTCATATAGCCCTTCATGCCCACTTTGGAGGCGCGACTGAGTGCCTCGTCGGTGACATCGGCGCTTACGGCAAGAACCGTCGGCGCCACGGGCTGATGGGCTGCAGGTGTCCCTAAGGGAGGCGGATGCTGCTGCTCTGGCCGACAATTAGGGGGGATTTGACCGTGGTATTCATCTATTAGCTGGAGGATTTTGGACGTGGCTTCGTATCCGTCCATTTCTGGCATCCACAGGTCCATCAACACAACATCCACCGGTTTCATCTTCTTGCGATGATTAGGCGGATTGGGGATCGGAAACCCATCTGTTGTGCTCTCGAGCTTGGGAGAGGGGCCATCTGCTGATTGTTGGGCGACCAGAACCTCCTGCATGATGCGGACCGCCTCCTTTCCATTACAAGCTTCGTAGATGTCGCTATAGCCAAGGCGCTTCAGCATATGAACCAACACACGCCGATTGATCTTGTTGTCCTCAGCGACGAGGAAAGTGAGCGGATGCTTTTCCCCCAGCTTACTGTCATGAGTGTCACCATTGATGTGACGTGGCATTGACTTGCAATGGGGAACCGAGCGCGCAGGGGTCAACGTTACGGACGATTCCTCAGTTAAGCTAGGTGATGGTTGCTGAATCGGCTGACTCGGTGTTCGCAGCGCGGGCGACAGCAACGACGATTCCACTGTCGAGGTGCTCGCACTGGTCATGCGTGAAGGATCGCAGAGCTGCGGTGGTGTTAAAAGCTTGTTCGGAGGAGTTAATGTCGGATCGGGCTGGTTGGCCGGAATCCTGATCTCAAACTCGGAGCCATGGTCGGGACCGCTGGTGCAGGAGCGAACGCATGTGAGGTCGCCGCCCATCTTCCTGGCCAGACCCTTGGCTACAAGGAGACCCAGTCCTAGCCCATCCTTACTCCGGGTGGTGGTGTTGTCCTCGCGAGCAAACGGTTTGAAGAGTTTAGGCAAGAATGCTTCCGGAATGCCCGGTCCAGTGTCCTTCACAGCGATCAGGACATCGTTGGTCTTGCGGCCAACGGTGGCACACACGGTTATCACACCGCTATTGGTGAACTTGACCGCATTGAGGAAAACGCACGAAATCAACTTGGCCAGGTCGCGATCATCTACAAATAGTGTGTCCGGTAGCGCGGGATCGACCGACCAATTAATAGTTTTGGAAAAGACTTCACCGTTTGATGAGCGTGACCGGATCTCAATCTTCTCTCCCGTGTCGGTCGCATTGCTCACAGCAAAGTCAGGCCGACCACCAACATGCAAGGATTCATTGATGACTAGACGGAGTAGATCGCGAAGCTTGGTAAACCTCAGTGCAGGGACGACATTGACGTTGATGCCTTCCAACAAGAGATGCGGTGCCGAGCGCCGGACCGCCAGCGATGGTCGAGGATTCACCATGTTGGCCATGACTGCTTCTATCTGATGTGCAGGGGCGGCTTTCATCAGTTGTTCGCTTTCGTGGACAGCATTTTTGACTTCCTCGCTACGAGGAGAAAGTCCCTTCGGCGAGACGACGCGCGGGACCTTCTGCTTTGGCGTTGTGCCGACATTCCATTCTGGCGGGTTACTCCGTCGCCGTTTGTACGGATTGACTGTGATGTTACTTCCTTCAACGAAGACACTTGGCCGGCTGTCGCATGTGCTTATTGGAGTCTGAACCGGCCCGCCAAAACAATCATCTCTTTCGAGCTGAGGAGTCTTGGGGACTTGCATGTTCAGGTCGTAGGCATGGACCACGTTGTCTGCTGCTTCGACCGCCCGTCTTGCACTATCTGTAAAGATGGATGTGAGGTTAGCATCTAAAAGAAGAATCCAAGAAGGGAGAATACGAACCCTGAACCATTTCGATACTCTCCTTCAGGGTTCGAAAAACGAACCCCGCCTTTGGAGATGGCTTGTCCTGGATAGCTTCGCGAACCGTGGCATGCATGACATCCAGCATTCCGACAACACCCTGCATCGGCGTGCGGAGTTCGTGAGACAAACTCCGGGCATAAGGCTTCAATGGGTGAGAGGCAAAGTCGGCCAATCCATGAGTGATGCTGATGTGTGCATCCTCGACAATCGCGTGGCTGGCAGACACACTTCTAGTCTTGCTGTTGCTCGGCTGCTGTGTGTTTACCGCTTCAAGATCGTCACGAATGTGCTGAACCACCAGATCTTCCAAAGAATACAGTATCATTTCGAGGAACGACCACGACAGGTTGCGCTTTTTCAATCCGGACTCCGACCACATCAGACCAAGGTATGAGAGACATTTCGTTTCCGAGAACAGTGGGACGGCGAGATAGCCTTCTGCGGCGAACGGCAGCTGATCTGGATCGAACGATATGTAGGAGCCCAAATCCTCCGGGATCAAACAGGGCTTCTCGTGGTCCATATGGGACAGAGGATTACCGCCAGCAAAGTATCTGTGGCGATGCATGCCTGCAGTTTCGTATCCGTCATTGTAATAGAACGCAGTGCCGAATAAATAAGGCTTGTGGCCTCGTATTTCATTGACCGACTCGTCCTCCCGGGCCTTGCGAGCAACAAACACATACTGAGCATCACAAATCGAGCTGATCTTCTCCATAAGATGGTTCCAAAACTTTTCCGATCTGAGGGTTCGAAGTTCCTGCTTCAATTTCACCAGCCGGTCAATTGCGACATTCTGGGGCGCTCCGATATATCTGCGACCAGACGAGTCGGCCTGCGCATCGTCCTCGCGCAACGTAGATGCGGACGCATCACCAGGAAGAACCTGGGATTTGCACGGAAGTAACGACATAGTTGGGCCGGATGCAAAGGATTTAGACCATTCTGACTCCGCGGAATCGGGCATGATGTGCCGAATGGTTGGTGCTCTGCAGCGTCCTCGATTTTGTTGTTGAAGACCGAATCTAATGTGGAGATATAGCGCTGGATGATAATATGGGAGGTCGCCAGGTTACTGAGGGGGATTGATAAGATATCAATGAATCAAGACCCAGATTGTTGGAAGGGGCACAGCGCATGGCTTTCGGTCTGTATGGTCAGTCAAACAGGAGCCCCGTTAGCTATATTCATGCAAGCAGGGTGAGTAGTAGGGATAGAAGGAGGCTACCAAGCACAATGCCCGTCCTAGATGGCTCTGGCTCTTCAATACATACATCACTTTGGGATCGATAGAAAAGATGAAGCCCACGCTGAGCTGCACCGCGGGGGATGCTCTGCAAAAGAGCAGGCACCGGTCTTGCAAATAATTTTATCCTCCGATAGGATCAGGATAATC